GTATCCTTGTACGCAGCATATCTCCTCTTACTACATTGCAAAATAATTCTCTATTTGTGTGTTTTGACCTTCCCACTGTGGGCTTCATGAGAACAGGGACTGTCATCTGCTCTTTTCTTTTCCGTTTTTGCCTTTACCTTTGTTTCTTTGTGGCCTTGGAACAATGAGTGATGTATATTAGGTATTCAGTGTTTCTTAAGTCAACAATGCATACTTCTGTAAGTTTTGGTGGGTTGAAGATGAAATTGGCTGACTAGGTATTTTAATTTCTCTGAAGCTCTTCAACAAAAGTGAAAATTATGTAATAAAGTGAGAGGAAATCAAGAGTTTGCTTCATTTGGACACCATAAAGTATTGGTGGTTTAATAAAGAAGAGAATTAATCAAATTGGATTCTTTTTTTGTTGTTCTTTATGCAGAGTTTGCCCCTCAACCCCAAACCTTTCCTCAACGGATTAACAGGAAAGCCGGTAATGGTGAAGCTTAAATGGGGAATGGAGTACAAAGGCTACCTGGTGTCTGTAGATGGCTATATGAACATGCAGGTGAGCTGACAAGTTATAACTGACAAAAATAAAGCAAAATTAAGGAATAAGGCCAGGGAGGATGCTGTAACTGTGATCACTATGTGTGAGATTGGGCACAGATTTCACTCCTAGTGTTTACAAGTAAGAGCTCAGACATTTGGTTCACAGTGCGGTTAAGACATACACTAGAGTGTACAGAAAAGCACACATTTTTGCAGCACTTAGCTCTGAGAGAAACTTTTCAAGTGAAGTCTTTTAATGAGTGCTAAATGTATAACATCAAAGTAATTTGATAAAATCAATTCTTGAGGGAGAAAACAGACCAACCAAAGGAATTGATGAACTGACTATGTGTCTGTTAAATTAGCTACTGTAAATGTTTCGGCCAGGTTTTACACTTTGTGTTTATTTGTGATTTTAAAATGTATAATGTAAAATTTACCATTTTAATCATTTTCAAGTGTGCAACTCAGTGGCATTAACTACATTCACACTGTTGTGCATCCATCACCATTATCCATTTCAAGAACTTTTTCATCATCCCAAAGTGAAACTCCTATGCCCATTAAACAAGAACTTCCCATTCCCTCTGCCTCCTGGTAAACACTTTTTGTCTTTATTCTAGGTACCTCATATAAGTGGAATCTTAAAATATTTGTCCTTTCATGTCTGGCTTATTTCATTCAGCGTGGTATTTTCAGGGTCCATCCATGTTGTAGCATGTATCAGAATTGCATCCCTTTTTGTGGTTGAAGTAATGTTCCATTGTGTGTAGCAGTCCCTTAGTATCTTGGGTCATTGGTTCCAGGACCTGCCTGGGATACTGAACTCCACAGACACTTGAGGTACATAGTTAGTTCTCCATATCGCGGTTGTGCATCAACTTGTCCATGCAGTTCAAACCTCTATTGTTCAAGGGTCTACTGTATATACCTCATTTTACTCATTCTTCTGTTGTTGAATATTTGAATTGTTTCCACCTTTTGACTGTTGTGCATAATGCAGTGAACATAGGTGCACATGTATCAGTTAATAGTCTCTACTGTCAGTATGGTATTTCTTTAATTTTTTTGAGGAACTGCCAGACTTTTCCATAGCAGCTGCACCATTTTACATTCCACCAGCAATGGATGAGGGATCCAATTTCTTAATATCCTCACCAACACTTGTTTTCTGTTTTTATAATAGTAGTCATCCTAATAATATCAAGTAGTATCTCATTGTTTTGATTTGTATTTCTTTAATGATTAATGATGTTGAGACCTATTTATGTGCTTACTGGTTATTTACATATCTTGAGGAAAATGCCTATTCATGTCCTTTGGCCATTTTTAAATTAGGGTGTTTGTTTTTTGTTGTTTAATTCTAGTAGTTTCCAGCCACTTTTTTGAAGAAAATATTTGAGGTTATATTTTCCTGAAGCATAGGCATTTGTGTGACTGATTAATGACTGATGAATGAATTTTAAAGGATACCTAGATAGGTGGTCCAGAGAAGGCAATGGCACCCCACTCCAGTACTCTTGCCTGGAAAATCCCATGGACGGAGGAGCCTGGTGGGCTGCAGTCCATGGGGTTGCAAAGAGTCGAGCACGACTGAGCGGCTTCACTTTCACGCATTGGAGAAGGAAATGGCAACCCACTCCAGTGTTCTTGCCTGGAGAATCCCAGGGATGGGGGAGCCTGGTGGGCTGCTGTCTATAGGGTTGCACAGAGTCGGACATGACTGAAGTGACATAGCAGCAGCAGCAGCAGATAGGTGGTCAGTCCAATTGTGACTCCATGTATTCTATACTGGTTATGTTTTTAAGTGAATACTAATAGGAGCACTTATAGGCTCAAAGCTGAGATTTTCCTTAATCTGGAGTTTACCACCCGAACAGACCATGCCCAGGTGCCCGAAGTTCCTGGAAAATTACCTAAGCAGTAATCGTTTACCAGGGCTATAGAAAAATTGGAAGACTAGACCCATTGTGCTAAAAATGTTGCAGACATGGTGGTGATTACACAAGTTTGTGAATATACTAAAAATCACTAACTTGTACACTTGAAGAGAATTTTATGCTGTAAGAATGATATTTCATTAAAAGAAAGGAATAAAAAAAATACCTGCCAAATATTTGGTTTTAGAAGTAATGTAGCTTTCTAGTGAACCGGAGAGAGTTATGAAATGTTATCTCTGAGTAACTAACCACATCAGTGATGCTTTTTTGAGTTTTTTCACTGGCACTGAATATATCAGTGAACAAAACAAAGTTGCTGTCCTCACGAAGTTTGTGCTTTAGTGATGGAAGATAGTTATGTAGTGTGATATCAGGTAATGGTAGATGCTCTGAAGAAAAGGAAAGCAGAAATGGAATAGTGTGACAAGAGTGTACAGTATTAGATGGGATAGCCAGGGAAAGCCTCTCTGAGGAAGTAAATTTAAGCAGAGACCAGAATTGAGTGAGTGAGTGAAGACTATCTGGTGAAACTGAAAGTCGCTCAGTCATGTTCGACTGCTTGCGACCCCATGGACTATAGGTCATGGAATTCTCTAGTCCAAGATACTGGAGTGGGTGGCCTTTCCCTTCTCCAGGGGATCTTCCCAACCCAGGTTTCCCACATTGCAGGCGGATTCTTTACCAGCTGAGCCACAAGGGAAGCTCAGGAATACTGGAGTGGGTAGCCTATTCTTTCTCTGGCAGATCGTCCCGATCCAGGAATCTAACGGAGATCTCCTGCATTGCAGGTGGATTCTTTCCCAACTGAGCTATCAGGGAAGCCCTTTCTTGGGAAAGAGCATCCCAATTTGAGGGAACAGAAAGTTGCAAAGGCTGTGTGACAGAAACATGCTTTTTCTGTTCAAGGCTTGGCAAGAAGGCCAGGGCAGAGTGAGTTAATAAGTATGATAGAGAATTTGGAGTGGTAGTCATGGAATGCCTTTTAAGTGATAGAAAGACTTTTGGATTTTATTTAAAACGTGATAATATACAAACAGCTCATACAGCTCAATGTAAAAAAAAAAAAATGGGCAGAAGACCTAGACATTTCTCCAGAGAAAACATACAGATGGCTAACAGGCACATGAAAAGATGCTCAGCATCACTAATTATTAGAGATGCAAATCAGAACTACAATGAGGTGTCACCTCATACCAGTCAGAATGGCCATCATTTAAAGGTCTACAAATGATAAATGCTGGAGAGGGTGTAGAGAAAAGGGAAGCTTCCTAAACTGTTGGTCAGGATGTAAATTGGCACATCCTCTAGGGAATAGTATGAAGGGTCCTTAAAAAGCTAAAATTTATAGAGTTACCATATGATCCAGTAATCCCATTCCTGGGCATATATCCAGAGAAAACTAATTCAAAAAGATAACATGCACCCCAGGGTTAAGTCTTAAAGAGGAAAATGTAGAATATAAAAAAATGATACAAATGAACATGTTTACATAAGGGACTCAGAGACAGGGGAAACACACCTTAGGTTACCAAAGGGAAGGACGGAGAGGGATACATTGGGAATTTGGGGTTAACAGATACACACCACAGTATGTAAAATAGAAAAACAAGGATTTTATCTATAGCACAAGGAACTAAAACTACTCTGTATTTTGTAGTAACCTGTAACAGAAAAGAATCTGAAAAATGTTTGTGTAACTGAATCATCTTGCTGTACGCTCAAAACTAGCATTAATGTAAATCAGCTATAGTTCAATTTGAAAAAAAAAAGTGGTAGAAGGCCTTTGAAGCATCATTGTATAATTTAGAAGCCAGTTAAATGTTGATGAAAATCTGCTGGAAATAATCACTTTTTTTAAAAAGCTGGTTGATCTTTTGCATACAAAACTGTCTGCAGTAATTTCAGGCAAAACCATATCCTCTACAAGGTTATTTTTGTTGCCTAGGAGAAGGAATAGTATCCAGTAGCATGATTGATTCATTAGCGTGTTTTAAATGCTTTATCTAACATCCTTTCTAATCCCTGTTTTTCTTTCCCTTTGCCCACTTACCTAGTTTTTGATGGAAATTTATTTGTTTTCTTTCCTGTTCATTTGTTTTTTGAGTCCCAGTAGTACTGACTATAATTTTTTTTAATTCACAAGTAAAGTTTATTAACTATATGTAGAAGGAAAGCTAAACATTTTGATGTAAAGTTAGAAATAATAGAGTTCTCTAAAATAACCATAAAGGTCGCTCTTAATTATTTAACCTCCTCTTAAGAACTTTTTTTTTCCTGTTTGTTAGCACATATTTTTTTTAAATCCTTATTCAGTTCTTTAGTTTGGTTGTTGAATAATGTAAGAGTATTTGGCATTTTAACCATAGCTTTTATACCCATTGGGTTCCTCAGTATGATTGATACAATGTTGTTACCCCAAGAAGTTACTGTCTAGTTCTTTAGAACTGAATTATTGAAGCTTATTCATAAATTGGAGAATTCCTGACATGTTAATGTTTAATAGAAATATACATTACTGAGAGATTTTTAAAATTGTGTTGAAACAAGCTTTATTATATATTAGTTCTACATCCATCAATGTTAACTTTACTTAATGTTCTACATGAAACCAAAAAGGACTACAGTAGTATTGGAAAGCTAACCTAATTGTTGTAGATAAATATACGTCATTGGTACAGAAAGGTCTCAGTTAATAAGTTCTCTCACCAGTGTTAGGTATATAATACTGTTTTCCTCCGGTATGATAATACATTTTCTTCTTATTTAAAGCTTGCAAACACAGAAGAATACATAGATGGAGCATTGTCTGGACATCTGGGTGAAGTTTTAATAAGGTAACAATGTCAGTAGTATATATAAGGAGTTGGTGATGAGCATTAGAAATACATGTTTAAATAAACTATTAGTGCCTCAATCTCAGACTTATTTTTTTTCTAACTACTATTAATTTAGAATAAAATGCTACAACTAGACTTCAAGAGTCATGAAATTGTTAAACTTGGCAAAGCAGATTTAAATACTTTGGAGCTGTTCATTCTTAAGGTTTTTGTAGTGTGGATGTTAAACTTTGTAGCTCTTAACTGTGCCTTTTTCAGTGGTTTTAGTTGCAAGAACTTGATTTTGAATTTTGGGTGGGTCTGTCAGCTGTTAGGTATTTGTATTTTACTTTCTAGAACTAGCTTTACACCTCTAAATTCTAGTCATTTTAACAACAACATTGCATAAAAATAGTACTGTGTGCTCTATAACAACCAAAGATCATTTTTTTAAAAGAGAAATGATGTGTTGTAATCTTAGCGTTAATATTTTTATAATGAAAAAAATCTAGTAATAATTCAGATCTTACATGGTTTCTTGTTGAAACAACAAAATGGTGTCTTTCTGTTTACAGGTGTAATAATGTCCTTTATATCAGGGGTGTTGAAGAAGAAGAAGAAGATGGGGAAATGAGAGAATAGCATCTTTGGGGGGGGAATTTTTTTATATATATTTGTAGACAATAAAAATCTGTTTGGTTTTCAATTTGACTGTGAGCGGCTATTCATGTTCAGATACTTACTTGCATATTCAGATGAAACAGTTCAAAGATTATTCACAGAACTAATGCTTTAAAAGCCACCAGACTTTATTCAAGTTTGTTTTCATGTAAACCCAATGCTGTATTTTTTTTTCTATGAGAGAAATTTATTTATATTCTTTATAAATGTTTGTGAAAGTGGATGTCAGCCCTTGGATTTGTATATTAACTGAGACCTTTTAAAAGTAACTGTTTCTTTTAAAGTTATTTTTGAGCCACTTTTGACATATATAAATATTTTCTTAGAATTCATATAGATTGTGTTATTTTACTCAGTAGTCAATAAATTATACTTAACACTATATCATTGTAAGCTAAATGATGTATACATTACAGCTAAAATTGAAACACCACCTGAAAATTAAAATAGTTTTGAGTATAGAATACAACAGAAATTGTGACATCAAATGCAAGCTAAAGGCCTGTGGTTTGTTCACTTTCTTAAGTGAAGAATTAAGTTTTCTGAACAGAACACCTTAATGTGAATTAGAAAGCAATCTCAAGGTTGGTTATGTTCAGACCACATAATGTAGTGGTTTTCATTTAAGTTTTAAACTCCTCAAAATCAGTATTTTTAGAGTTGTACATTGTTAAAATGTATACTTGATGGTGATAAAATGTATATTATGAATTTTGCTGTGGATCAGTTGAAAAAAAATTATTTGAAGTCTCATGTTGTCAGAATGCCATTATTGCTCTTAAATGGTCACCTGCCATATAGTCACATTAACGAAGTAGCTGTGATGTGTATCCCCAACTGGGACAACAGAAGGTATAAATGTTTAGCTATATAAAATAATGGTTAGGATATGGATAATAAAAGTCTTGAACAAAATAATGTAACTCATTTCCAATCATTAGGGTCTTTTAGAATAAGGGCCTGATTTCTGAAATTGGTTAGGCCTGTATGTGTGGCAGAATATTGCCATGACTGAAAAGCAAAATCTACAGAATATGCCTAAGGCATTCTGGTAATAAATGTCTTAACTGCTTCTGTTCAAGTGAAAAAATACTCTTCCTCCAGGGATTTCGTTCTTGTATCCTTGACTAAAAGTAGTTCATGTTTGTTACCAGATGGAGGTTTTGAACGGTAGATAAGTTGTCTTCCCTGCTGAAACAAAAGAAAAAAATATTTTTCATGTAACCGTTTTCTATTGAAGTATAACCCCAGAATACTAATTATTAACTTGATTTTCCCAAAGAATAATATAGTTTAAAATAATCCATTTACAAAGAGATTGATGACTAATGGATGTCCAAACGCAGGCAGAGTTATGTAGCAAATGGAGTACCATGGTATGCAGAAGACAGAGCAGTTAGGTGTTACGGGGAAATGGGAGGGTTTAGATAGTCATCAAATAGCTTGTGTTTCAGATACGGTAAGCCATGTTTGAGGCCAACACTTCATTTCTCAGTAACCCCCAGTAGGAGGAGTAGCTAGTTCTCTGACTAGGAGTCGTACTTTCCTCTGCGGAGCAACAGTTACTAGCATTTAAAATCCTGGCTTTTGGAGGTGTTCCAACCAGGAGAGGCTTAGAGACACCCTGAAGCATACCTATTTATTCTCTCTGGGGCATATATTCAACTTCTGTCATGCTAATTTTTCTCTTTGAATTTTTTCTCTCCCTTTTGTTTGTTTTGCCTTTATATCTGAATTTGTGTAAATTAAAAGGATAAAAAAACTATTGTATTGGACTTGAAATCTGATGAGACATCTCCATTATGTCTCAGAAAAGGCACCAGCCCTGTGTGTGACCACCCCTGCATTGCAGTATATGTGACATTCCTGGCTCCAGGGAACTAAATAGCACTGGCAATCCCCACCCCTGCATTATAACAACAAAAATGTCCTTAGAGGACCAGAATCCTTGAATTCCTTCTCTAATGTCAGATTCCCCCACCTCCCCACCCTGCACCAGTCTCCTTTGACAGCCTTTGTTACTAATTTCTGCCTGAGAAAACTGCCAGCAATGAAGTGTTCTGAGTGAAAACCTCTTTCAGAGGTCTTCATATATTGTTGACTTAGCAGCATTTTTTTTCCCAGTTTTCTTGCAGACCCCATTTGCATTCTCATTTTTAGTCTGTTAACTCAGTAAGCATTTATTGACTGTCCACTGTGTGCCAGGCATTGGGGCTACAAAGGTCATAAAACTCATCAGTGGTCACTTGGTGGGCTGAGTAAATAATAGTTTATACATGTAGCAGGGTGTTAACTGGCTAATTATCTCTTGGAAGAAGAGGACAAGTCAGATCTTCATAGGCAGAGTTGAACTAGGTAAGTACAGATCCTTTTAAAAAATAAACACTTAAATAAAAATCATTACTTTTTTAACATAGTAATATTAACAGTTACCATACTTCACAACTTCTAAGTACTTCAGTGGCTGGTTGTGAGGAGCATAATAAGCATTCTCTATGTGTTAACTATGACTGTGCTTAGAATCAGCATCCACATTAGTTCTGCAGATAACTATGAAATTGCTTCCCTGGAATATGATTTCAGACTCAAACTCAGAGGAGGAAGAGAGGCATATAAAAACAAAAGACCCTTCATACCCAGGGGGAGTAATAGACCACATGTACTCGGAAGCTGCCCCATCCTAAACTTCTTATTGAACAGGTAATCTTGAAATAGGAAGAACCTCGGCTTCTGCTTACATGCTGCTGCTAAATCTGATGCTAAATCTGAAGTGACTCTGGGTAAATTATTTTAACTTCAGCTATAAATCTCAGTATTTTCACAATGTGAGAATTAAAAGACCCTTCCAGTTATATACAATCCACTATTATTTTTGCATTTCTCTAGTTTCATGCACCTGGAGCTAAAGAGGCGAGGGAGAAGTTTCTTTTACCAAAAAGTGAGTTTAATGGAGAACTGTAGACCCAATAGTTGAATTATTCTAAAAATAACAAGGAACCAGAGAGATCAGTTGAAACTGTCAGCAGATTTACTGAAGTTTAACCTGGATAAATTAGATGAGTTGGGTATTTTGTTTTTACATTACAGAAGCCCTCACACACTGATGTAGCTGGACCTATTAATATTAACAAAACACAGACCTTCTTTTTCTTTGGTTGTGCTACTGCTCTTTCCAGGGCAGCTTTTAGCCTTTCCTCCTGGTGTTTTTGTTTCTCTCTCATTTTCTCTTCACGCAACCTGTCAAAAGAGGAAGACAGTGTTCTAACTATAAATCACAGTCAAAAAGATCTACATCAATACTATTTGATAAAGAATTACCTAAATATTGTTAAGTCTCCTTTAAGGTTAAATGAAAATAATACTTCGTCTTCCCCCTGTAATTGTGGGTTTTGAATATTCAGGTGAAATTTCAAGAACAAACCCTGTTTATGTTGAAATGGAAAGAAAGTGCATGTCACTGTTTTGGAAGAAGCAAAATCTACCCAGATCTTGGTCCAAAACAAGCACCTCAACAGAGCCCTCTCATCATTTCATTTACAGTTCGGTACTTTATATTAATCTGTATGATGGCCACTTGGATTATTGATAGTTTCCAGTTATTTTCCCCTCTTTTTAAACCTTTTTGTTGAAGTATAACATGCAGAAAAGTACACAAGTCACAAGTGTATAGTTCAATTGATAAACACAAAAATATACTTTTCAATAAATCTCTTTGAATGTTATCGTCAAGGCCAAGAAATACTATTTTTCTTTGTTCTCTTTAGGGTTGTTAGGATAAAATTAAATGAGATGACCTATACACACTGTCTAGTCCACTGCCTGTTGCAGAATAACCACTTGCCAAGTGATGACTATTTTATGGATGTATATAATTATCAAGGTAACATTCACTGAACATTTTTTATGCAAAATTAGGTATTGCGTTAGGTGCCTCCAAACCATGGGAAAAAATCCACTAAAATTCTTTTTATTGAAATTTTCTACTGTGAAAAATGCAAATGTTCTTAGTGAAAGTGAAAGGTCATCTTGTGGAAGGAGTGATTTCTCATAATTTCTTTAAAGTGTGCTTCATATTCAACAAAATCCCATCAGGATCACCTTACTATATTCTAGTCTTTGTTTTTATATGGGGGAACAATAAATCCCCACACCCCAGTAAAGTGGTAAGCAATAACAAAGTATCTAATATGAATGTCTGGTATTAGCGTACTTAGTGTATTCCAAGCATGCTTTAGTGCTTTTACATAGATTATTTAATTCAATCCTCACAACAACTGTATGAGATAAGTGGCATTGCCATTTTACAGGTAAGGAAACTTACTTGTTGGCAGTTAGGAACCAAGGGAAAACCCTGATTACCTAGCTCTTTCAAACAATTTCTTCACAGATCGAATCTCTCTGTAGTTTTCTAACTAAGGAAATTCTAGTCTTAGGCCCTTTCACCACAAGTATGATTCTCCTTCCACATGATAATCCTTTGAATATTTTCATAAGTAGGGAATATTCAATCTGAAAATTCACTTTTTTTCAGACTGGAAGGACCCCTTGCCCATCTGAAACTATGTCATTTGTCCCTGGTGAACTCTTTCCTTCACAGTGCTCATTTTACCATTGGTAATGACATTTATTTCATAAGAATATTGATGAATATATCTCCATACTAAATAATAGCTCTATGAGGACAGCAGGTCTGAGTTTGATTCCAGTGTCTATATGGTGTATAATAGAGACTTGCCACATAACAGACTTCACTAATGTTTAAGTCTTTTATTACATGTATATCATAAGACAGTGACTGTACCTTTGCCTTCGTTCTTTCTGTTTCATCCTCTCAATGGCCTCCACATTTTCTTTAGGAATGGAGTCAATGAGATCACTCAATTCTACCAGGCGAGACTCTACTTTTACCAGCTTTTGAACTGGGTTGAGGCTTCCAACCTCAGCATCTCCAATGCAGACTCTGTATACTTGGTTAATTTTTTTACTAAGAGAGTCTATCAGTTTTTCCTGAGATTAAAAAGAAAAGGAGAGCAGAAAACATCTCATTACTGTTTGCTTGTTCATTCAATAAATGTAAAATTCCCCTTTAATATATTGTAATGAAAGGCTTTTATTAACATGTTCTACTAAATACTTCCTTTTTTAAAAGAAAAACTTTAATACAACATTAGAACAGTGAAAAAAATGCAATTTATGTCATAAATTATAGTCAGAGCAGGCTTCCCTGCCACAGTGTGGGAGACCTGGGTTCAATCCCTGGGTCTGGAAGATCCCCTGGAGGAGGGTGTGGCAGCCCACTAGTATTCTTGCCTGGAGAATCCCAGTGAACAGAGGAGCCTGGGGGACTGCAGTCCACGGGGTCACAAAGAGTCAGACACGACTGACCACTAAGCACAGCACACAGAGCATTACTATAATAACACCCTGGATTATTTCTTTAAAAGTATTTCAGTCTAGGTATAAAGTAATTTAATAGGATGCTTGAATGTTTTTGTGTATCATTCCCATTCAAGTAGACACTACATAAACATTTAAATCCTTTTTTTCCCCCACTTCAGTACATTTCCTCGCAGCAGTATGTGAACTCTTTTTTTTGTGCTTACTACCCTAATTGCTAACACTATAATCCTGTCGGACGGTTTTCTGCATACATATCTTATTGTCCCTTATAGACTGTAAGCACCTGGAAGGCAGGAGCTATTTCTTACGTTTATACTTATATATAAAGTAGCACCCATGTAACTATGCACTTAATAAATGTTTGCTGAATAAATGAATGCATTCTCAGAGGGAAAATAAGCAAACAGCTTCCCAGGCTGGCCTACAAAACATTTTGTTTTCATTCTCTCCATCTGGAAGCCATTCCAGTATTCTAGTCTAAGCGGAAGTAGGCCACACCTTGCTGAGCCCTGTACCTGGCCACTGCGCCGTATTAACTGTTGGTAGAGATGTTCGAGCTTGTAGGTAACATGTTTTGGGATCGTAAGAAATCTCTCTTTCTGTGTCTCCACTGTATACCCGGCATTCGCAGATAAAAGGATCTCAATAAACTTCTGGGCAAAGTAAATCGTTCTCCTGGTAGAATCCTGCCCCCATTCCTGCTTCTGCTCAAGAAGATGAGAATCACCATAAAGCCATGGGCAAATAATACTCAAGACAGACGTGGCTCCAGGAGCCATGGGAAACCCCTCCTGAAACCACAGACTCATTACAGAGCTACCAGCACTTGGTCACAAATCAAGACCTGTCACCAATAGTTTACTTCAAACAGCTTGTCTCTCCCACCTCGTTTAACAAGCTTTCTGATGGTCCTATTTACTATAAAGCCCCCTTTCTTTCCTCCTACAGTAACACTTACTGTACTCCCTACTTATATTTAAAATATGATTTTAGGAAGTTTGGAGAAATATCTATAAAATAAAAGGAAAACAAAAGTCCTGTTTGCCATAAAACTCCTTTTTTTCTCCCCCTTTCTAAATGACATTTCTATCCCGTTTATACTAGCAACACAATCTTTTTAGAAATTTTAGATATATAGAAAAATATAAAAGGAAAAAAGTAAAAGTAACTCATCAAGGGGATAAAATATTGTACATTGGACATGGAAAAGATTACTGCAGTGTGTGTCACTAAAAGTATATATTCTGAGAAAACATCTTGAATGTGAGAATGATTAGTAGTTGATGGAGATATGGATGGTCAACAACCTGTCATCATGTCTTATTACTTTAAGTTCCCCCTGTCAAACAGGAGAGGGGCAGACAAGGAGAGATGTTTTATTAAGATAACAAGAAGAGCATAAGAAACAGGATTGGGGAATGATGTATGAAAAACAGATTGAGGGCCTGGCCCAACAGAGCAAAAAGGCCTAGAAAAAGAGAGCTCCAAGCATAGATGGGCCTGCAGAAGACAGAAACTAAGTGTAGGGCCCATCTCTTGCACTGCCACCAGATGGCGGGCCCAACCAGAGCACCTCGGGGGAGAGGCAGCCGAGAGGCTGCAAACGGGGAGGAACCGCGGCCCGCGCTGCCGGCGGGACAGGGTCTTGGGAGGTTTGAGTTCTGGGCAAGAACTGCATGCCTTTAGCAATGAATGGGAAGTGGACAGGGGAGGGGGGAGAGGTCCAGAAGACATTTAAAGTCCTTTCCAACTCAAGGATTCTGTCATTCTAATTCAGCTCACTTTCTGCTAAGTGCTGACCACAGACAACTTTCCCAGAAGAACTTGATCAGCTCCCTGTGCCAAAGAACAAAATCAGAGAAGAGGGCATTCAGCAAATTGAACAAAGGGATATTTTATACTCCACTTCATGTTCAGTGAACAAACAACTGCACGAAACATGGATGACTCTCAGAAACATAATTTGAGAGAAAGAAACCAGACAAGCGGGTATATTAATGATTCCAGTTATATACAGTTCAAAAACATGAAAGTTAGGTGATGTGAGTCAAGGTAGTGGTGACCTTGGCTGTACGGGGGAGACCAGAAGGGGCAGGTGGAACGCTTCTGGGGCTGGTACATGGTGTGCTCACAGTGAGTAAATTCCTTGGGAAAGAAACCTGGGATTTGTGCAATTTTCAATATTACATTAGAGTTAGATTTAAAGTTGTACATTGTGTACTGTTTTTAAAGTAAAATATTAAGTCAAGGAAAAATGTTTTTAGGGGATTAAATACAGTTAAGAGTGGAAATTTTAAAAGAACAAAATACTCATAGCTCCAAAATACCTAGGATAATTTATGAATATCAGAATTAGGCACTGCTCTGCTTATTCACTCATAAAGGACCATGTTTTGCACGTTTCAGTATATGAAAAGAATGGGAGTGGGGAAGCTGGGAAATTCTTGGAAAAGAACACTTTCCCCTGCCAGTTTTCCTGTTCTGCCTCTGCTTCTCTGCCCCAACATTTCACTTTTCTAAGAGACACTATGAATTATTAACCCAGTTTTTCAGAGTGTATAATACATGAATGCCAAAATTATACTTGTGACCAAAATGTCATAGTCTTTTAAAAAGTAATTTTGAGATCAATTTTGTCTTCTCCATTTCAGGATCAAGCTGCCTCAAAGTTTGAGTATTGAAATACTACTTTTTTTCATAGCCACCCTAAATTTGGAAGAAAGGAGCTTGTGGAGGGCACTGGGAGATACCACTGATATCTACCTGACATTTTTCATGTTAATCAGCTTCAGAACTATTTAAAACAGACTGAAAGGGTGAAAACAACCCAAGTGTCCATTGACAGAAGAGTGGATAGACAAATTATGATATAAAAATATAGTGGAATATTATTTAGCCACAAAATGAATAGACTTCTGACTCATGCTACAATGTGGATGAACCTTGAAAATATGCTAAGTGAAATAAGCCAGACACAAAAAGTCCAGAAACTGTATACTTCCATATATATGAACCACTGAAAACAGGCAAGGGTTTCTCTGGTGGCTCAGTGGTAAAGAATCCACCTGCTAATGCAGGAGACAGGGTTTCAATCTCTGGGTCGGGAAGATCCCCTGGAGAAGGAAATGGCAACCCACTCCAGTATTCTTACATGGGAAAGAAAGTACGGACATAGACAGGATCCTGACAGCCTACAGTCCATGGGATCGCAAACAGAGTTGAACACAATTTAGTGACTAAACAAGACAGACAAATGTATAGAGATAGAAAGTAGAACAGAGGTTACCAGAAGCTGGAAGATGGGAGAATTGGGGAACTATTGTTTAATGGGTACAGAGTTTCTATTTGGGATGATGGAAAAGTCCTATAAATAGTGGTGATGATTATGCAGCACTGCAAATATAGTTAATGCCACTGAATTGTACGTTTGAAATGGTTAAATGGTCAATTTTATGATATGTATATTTTTTACCACAATTTTTTTAAAGGTGTAAAAAAGACTGCATTGAAGAGCTGAAAGGTGACTATCATCATGCTTTTTGCTCTAGCAGTGCACAGCCCCATCCCTTCCTTCCTTGGTGTTACACCACATAAGAAGTGTGGACTGTGACTGGAGCCATAAACAGGTTTGTTTTTGTAACCCTGCCTGCTTATGGGTGAGGGAGCACAGTCATCTTCTGATAGAGTCCCCTTAAATCTATCCCTGTTTGAAAGTCAAGTTCATAACTATAATTGTGATATTAGTCTCACATATGAGTTTTGAATTTTTATTTCATTCAAGATTTTACAAGGAAACCAATGCTAGCTGGAGTTTATTATGGGTCTTAAAACTAGCCTGATCATTCATTCAACAAACAGTTATGGAGCACCTGCTTTATAAGGTTGCTAAACTTAGCTGAATAGAAGGGTAAGACAGCCTTGCCCTAGGGTTTGCATCCAGCTGGGAGAGACCTGCATGCAAACAGGTGAGCACACTAGTGTATGTCACAGGTGCTCTGGTGATAGATCTCTGCAAACCCCGGAGGGGTCACAACCTATTACAAGCTCAGTGTTGGGAAGACACTCCATTCAGTGCTGAGTCAGTGCTTCCTGTCTTCATTATTTGCCCTTCAAATTAATACCAAAACGATCACAGACAGTGAACTACTTCATATGTATAGTCATGTGTATACTGACTAAAACAAATATATTTATAGGTGGGGAAATCTCAGCATCATACTTGGTAACCTTTTAAGAGAGTGCCAATGATAATTGAATGTTTTCTATCTGTTGTGTAAGTTGGCTATTACATATTAACAAGGTAATTTCCAAGCAGGTTTTCAGCCTCTGTCATTAACCTGGGACTTGTGGTTTGCTTAATCCTCCTATTCCAATACTTAAGACACAGAGAATGCAGATTCTTATTACCATGAGCCAAAATAAAATTCCTGCAGGCAAAGAACAATTACCTGAGCATCTGAGTTATATTCTCCAAAACTAAATAGCCTGGACCTTAATTCCAGCTCTGCTGCTTTTTCTTCTTCTCTTACACAGTTGGCCTTGAGCAATTCCTTGTGTTCCAAAAGAAACTCTATGTTGGTATTTCTATTGCAAAGAAGAAAGAGACCTTTACCTGTAATCTATGATTCAGTGAAATAAACCACAGTCAGGAGCTTCAATACTCTCTAGATCATGTGTCAACATCCTATGTCTAGTAAACCAAATAGAAGTTTATATTTTAAGACATGGACAAAGTACCTGCAGCTTTTCAGGTTAAAGTAAGAAAAATAAATGCACAGATGCTTTTTAACGTCCATCAGGAAGTATTTTCTCACCCCTCTACTTCTGTGGCTCCCCTGAGTCCCCCAGATAGAAAAAGCAATAGAATTGAGGTATTGGAAACCCAAGCTGGGTGACCTAGGAAGTCACTGTTCTCAAACCTGACTGATAATCAGAATACCTGGGGAGCCACTGGGAAAAGTAGAGACTCCTGACTCCTTACTTAGAGCTTCTGATATAGATCCCCTTTTCCTGCCCAACCATACCCACCCCATCCCTTCATGTCATGGTGGGGGCACCGTACACTGAGGACTGAAGTGAGGAGACAAGGATTAAAAGGAGACAGTAGTTTACTGGGTGGCTATGAGATTATGGTTTTAAGTTCTTCTAATATGTCCCAAAGTTCAATGCAGTTTGACTTAACTATTCAAAAAGATTGACATCTTCTGGTGCATATGAGTCTTCCTGAAAAGGTTCTGCACATGTTTACAATGAGTATTAGAGTAGAAGGAATATTTTGAGTCATCAAATCCAGCCCCCTTCCCAACAGAAATCGCTTTTATAATAGCCCTGATATTGATATGTACATTATAAAATGATACAATATTTAAGTAATGAAAAAACTTTTGCTGAGAGTCACAGCAAGGGAAATGAGTTTATTAGCATTATCATCCAAAGCATGATTTGGTCAGCCAGATGACAGCGTAAAATTGCACTGAACAAAGAGTAAGGCAGTAGGTGACATTTTGATTCTTTATAACTTTCTATGTTGTCTTATTCTTGCTAGCTAGGAAAATATTTTGAAAAGTGAAAGGAATTAGGGACTAAAACTAAAACCAGTCTATTCTGTGTAAATATAATTCCTACTTTTTACATTCTGCCATGTGAACGGTTAATAAAAATTCCTCCTAAAGTCTGGGAGGCCACAAGGAGGGGCCACACCTAAATGAAGGCGGGCTTCGTCTCTAATCGGAGACTGGCTAACAGAGAGTCTGCTTGCTTTTCATGACTTACATTTTATCCTGTATAACTTTTTCTCTTTTATTTACATCTTCAAGATTTTCATCTACATCTTGGGAATATTGTACCAAAGTAAGATTCTGCTCTTCCAGCTCTGTGAGGACTTGAAGTAACTCTTCAGGCTCTTTGAAATAAAGTTCTGGCTCCTAATCAATAATGAGGAATGTAATTAATTCACTTAACGTGCTACCTGCGCACATACGACTTATCTGGGAAGGAACAGTGGGGTGAAGGAGTGCTGTTCCGATTACAAGGGAGACATGGGCAGCCAGTGACCACAGCCTACTTCCATGTGAGAGCTGGCCTGAGGGACGAGAACACTCTGCGTGTTGCGGGGGAGATGAGGTTATTAGAGAAGGGGAAAGGAAGAAGAGAGTGAGGAAAAGAGAAAGAAGTGGGATGGAGCGGAGGAGGAGGCAAAAGCAGGGGGAAAGGAAAGGCAAGTTTCTAGGGAAAGACAAGAGAGAAGAAGGAGAATGAGGAAACAGAGGACTAAGTGAAGGTCATTTTCTCCCCACATTTTAATAATTTTCTGTTTTCTAAAACTTTAAATATAAGTTTATATCACTTTAAATAAATTTAATTCATAGCAAGATGACTTGGATATTTGCACCCCCACATTCATCAAATTTAATGTAGCCAAGAACTGGAAGCAAGCTAAATGTTCATCAGTGGATTGATGGATGAATAAAGAAAATATGGTCTATCCACCCTTAAAAAATAAGGAAACCCTGTGATTTGCTATAATATGGATGATCCCAAAGAACATAAGGACATGAGACTAAATGAAATAAGCCACTCATGAAAAGACAAATACTGCTTCCACTTTTACGAGGCATGCAAAGTAATCTAACTCTTAGAAATATAAAGTAGAATGTGGTTGCTAGGGGCCAGAGGGAGTAGGCACAGGGGAGTTGTTCAGTGGGTGTATAGTTTCCATTGTACAAGATGAAAAAGTTCCAGAGGTCTGTCACACATCATCGTGTTAATAGTTAACACTGCAGGATCATACACTTACTAGTTAAGATGGTAAGTTGTGCTTTTTCCACACACACACACACACACAAAGATGATTTGGATAAGGTATGTTATATATAGTATACAGACAATGCTTTTAAGTGTTTTTTGTTCCTTTTCTGTGAGTTTCTGTGGTTGTATTTAGGGTGAGATTAGCTCACAATCAGACCTGTATCCACAAAGAGCTGTTTTGTTGAAGGTCAATTTATCTCACAGTCCAGCTACTCAATATATCTCAAGCCCCAATAAAATGATAAATAATCAGAAGGTGGTTATTTTCAGAGGAAGATTGTAGATAATATATATCTCCTAAATTGTTACCTTCTAAAGGACACTTATTTACTTATAATTTTTTAAAAATCTTTTGGCTGTGCCTCACAGCATCCAGGATCTTAGTTCTCCCAACCAGGATCGAATCCATGCCCCCTGCAGTGGAAGTGTAGAGTCTTAACCACTAAACTGCCAGGGAAGTCCTGACATTTATTTTTCATTAAACATCTGCTGACAAACATGAACTATACATACAACTAGAGAACAGTATTAAAATCATATTTTCGGGGCTTTCCGTGGTGGTCCAGTGGCTAAGGCTCCATGCTGCCCATGCAGAGGGCCCAGGTTGGTTCCCTGGTCAGGGAACTAGATCCCACATGCCACAACTAAAGATCCCGCATGCTGCAACTAAAACCTGGTGCAAACAGGTAAATAAATAAATTTTTTAAAATCATGTTTTCTTCTGAAAGGTTGTGGAATATTTGGAACAGGACATTTTAATTTCAAAAGAAGACATAAGCATCTACACTTTTCACCAAACAATATTTAAGTCAAGACAAATAGTCTGGTTACCAGATCGTAGTCCATATCATCATCTAAAAAGAATTCCAAACTGTCTTCTGAACTGATACTCTCAGTTTGGCTGTAAAAGGAAAAGAAAATGCCTGATTTCTGAGCCATTTTCTATCAACAGATTTGCTTTCATTTCTAAGTTATTTTTGGAACCTAAATGTAACCTAGTTCTTTTAGGGAATTGCAGGAATCCATGGATTCCACCAGTATGCAAAAGAAAATCAGATTCATTCCCAGACAAGGGTGACACATGCCAACAAAGAAACCACAAGTAAGGGTGGTACCACGTGGTACCGATTGTTTGAGGGGCATCTGTAAAGTAACTTCTGTTCAGGCAGAGGAAATGTTGGTCGGGGAGCAGGGTGGGTGATGAGATACATACTTAAAGGATAGTTGTGTGGCTTGCAAGGTGGCTCTGAAAGAATCCTTTAAGAAGGATAAATTGAAGATGATTGGAATGTTAAAAGGGCAGGGGCTAAGGAAGGAGTAAAGTGGCTGTTGGTGTGACCCATGTAAGTAATGCTCGTAGTGATGGTGGAAACAGGTCAGTGGTTGGGGGTCGGGAGGAGAATCTAGAGACATAAGAAAGAAAGAATTCGTGGGAACCAAGAATAGGAAGAGTTACCGGGACAAAGAGAGAAGAGACAAGATGACTTCAGTGTTTGCCGTCTGTGAGCCTGGAGTAATGGAGGTCATGCTAACAGGAAGGAAAACACTTTTATGGATAGAATAAGGACAAGATTGGGCTTCCCTGGTAGCTCAGCTCGTAAAGAATCCCCCCGCAATTCAGGAGACCCAGGTTCGATTCCTGAGTCAGAAAGTTCCCCTGGAGAAGGGCATGGCAAGCCACTCCAATATTCTTGCCTGGAGAATCCCCATGGACAGAGGAACCTGGTGGGCTACAGTCCTTGGGGTCACAAAGAGTTGGACACGACTAAGCATAGCACAAGGACAAGATTAACATTTGCTTTGTTCAGGCTGAGTTTGAAGGGACAAAATAGCCTACTTGGAGCTGCCCTTTAGCAATGGGAAATACGTTGCAGGAAAATTGAGAGGGCCACAGAAGTCAAGGGATACTTGGCAAACATCCCCTGAGAAAGCACTGGGTACCACTGTTCACTCCAAATCAATCTTCTCCCACCTCTCTGACACTGTGTTACATTTTTGGTTTCTTTTCTTTGAGTCTGTGTTTGCTCAGCCTTCTTCCCTCTCTTTCTACCCATCCTCTGGGGCTGACCCTCTCATAGATCCAACCACTACTGCATAACGCCTCCCACCTGTCTGTCTCTCCGGAGCTCTGGACTTCAGTGCCCAGCTTCCAGCTGAACATCAGCATCCACCTGCGTGTCCCACAGAGAGCTCAGACGAATGCATCCAAAGTCATACTCCTCATTTTCCTCTCAGGCCTGCCCCCCTTACTGTGCTCCTGATGCCTTTGAATGGCAACGCCACACACAGTTGCCACATGAGAAGTCTGGGAGTTATCTGTGGCCACTCTGTTTATTGGGGGAAGCCTGTAGGTAGCACTTCCCTGCTATGTCCCACAGCCTCTCCTTCTCTGTTCCGGCCGCCACTGCCTGGCTGGAGCTGCTCTTTCTCTCTCATCTGATGAACTGTGACCACAGGTTCCTAACTGGCCCCTCTCCCTCTAGTTTTTTCCATTGTTTCCTGTCCATTCTGTTCTCTAAAACACTACCATATCCCACTTTCTAAAATGTAAATCTGATTTGAGCCTCTGTCACATTCTTGCTAAAACCTTCAGTGACTCCCAGGGCACTTGGAACAAAACACAGACACGTTTGGGATGACCGCACTGCTTCCCTGCTCATGAGACAGTGCCTAGTCTTGTCCACTTACACCCCGCAGCCCAGCCGTTCTGAACAGACCCAAACACTGCCACCCTCTTGCCAGCAGGCCCCTCCCTCTTCACTGACCCCTCGTCCTCTCAGCAGACGCAGCTTAGATGCCATCTGACCTGCAGGGTGTCCACTGATCCCGCCCCTGCTTCTTCTCCAGCCCCTCACCTCTCCTCTGGGCTGAGGACCCTGACTGTCCTTCCAATGGTATCATGGTGTGATGCAACTGACAAACTCCTTGTCTGTCTTCCTCACTAGACGGTGGGCTTGTTGAGAGCACAGACTGTCTTTTTTTATTCTGGCCCTATAGGGCACTCAGTAAATACGTGCTGAGTAAATGAAGAAGCTAAGCAGCAGAGAACTTTCTGAGAAAGTGAATGTGACGTTTGCGTATTACTTTGTGCTTCAACATGGAAAATCCTTATGATGATCTTCTGTATTTGATTGTATCTTGACTGTACTGATGTCAATATCCTGTTCATGCTGTTATACTACAATTTTGCAATAGATGTTACTATTGGGGGAAACTGGGTAAAGCATAGTGAGACCTCTCTGTATTTTTTCTTGTAACTGCATGTGAATCTATAATTCTCTCAAAGTGAAAATGTAATTAAAACACAACAAAACAGTGACTCTAAAATGCCACAGAAGTAGAGTGACCCCGAGGCCCCTGAAATTCAGAGTACAGTGTCTGTGTCAGCTTTTGCCATGGATAATACACTGCTGGCCCAGATACTTCCTTTGGGGTCAGAGTATCCATCCTGGACATCAATATATTTTCTTACAGCTCCCCTAGGGTAGCTGGGGGCTCCCTGGTAGCTCAGTTGGTAAATAATCTGCCTGCAATGCAGGAAATCCCAGTTCAATTCGTGGGTCAGGAAGATCCACTGGAGAAGAGATAGGCTACCCACTCCAGTAATCTTGGGCTTCCCTTGTGGCTCAACTGGTAAAGAATCTGCCTGCAGTGTGGGAGACCTGGGTTCAATCCCTGGGTTGGGAAGATCCTTTGGGGAAGGGAAAGGTTACCCACTCCATTATTCTGGCCTGGGGAATTCCATGGACTGTGTAGTCCATGGAATTGCAAAGAGTAGGACACGACTGGGCGACTTTCACTTCACTTCGCTTCAGGGTAGCTAGGGTGGATAACTACCACTTTCTGAAATAATGAATATAAATGAGTCAATAATCAAGTAAGGGAAGAAACAAACAAAAAGTGCTTTCTAGTCCTATAGCAGCAATTTTGAAAGCCATGGTAAATTTGCAAACACATGGTAAATTTTGCAAACAAAAACAGCAGAGTAGATCAAAAACAACTAGGCAGTGGACACTGAGAGGCAAAGACCCAAGAGGCAGGGTGTGGGTGGTTTCTGCAAATAGCAGATGTAGGCCCTCATCAAAGGATGTGGGAAGACCTGTGAGAACTTGGTCACCTGCCGAGCACATAGAAATGGCAACCACTACCTCCAGCATCTCTTATGGTGGGTATGGATACGTGGCACATATGTTTAAGAAAGGCTAAAAGAGATATTGCTTAAAAAAAAAAAAACACCATTTCCAAGAGAGGTAATCAATATGTACCATACTTTGATAAGGATGATTTCTTTTCCTCTAGGTTGGGAGTGATCCTCCTGCGTGATTTTGCTATTCAGAATGTCCAGGTGAAGTCCACATCGTTGGTGATGGTGGAGGTGAAAAGAACATGTAATTAGGAATTAGTGCTTGCTATTTGGTGAAAGGGATTCATTTTTCTGTACTGATATGCCCATTACTTTAAAAAAAATTATTATTAGAAACAATCATATAGAAAATGATGCTGTTTTATTCTACTGACTTTTGGTTTCAAGCATAAAATCAGAAATCACTGTTTGGGGTGGGGATGGGTACATATTGTCTAAAACATGGCACAAGTCAGGGACGTAAACAGTGAATATAAATCACAGTTCTCTTGTTACCTAATCATATACATTTTTAATCACAGATTTTAAAAGATCAAGATATAAAATAAAAATGGTGGACTTTAGTTATTACCAATGTCTGGGTCTGACCATGGTCTGAAACTGAGAAGTGGGCAGCTGGTCTTGGATCTCTGCATCCACTGGCCCCCAGGTCATGCTTCCTCATGCCTGAGCTTTTGTGGCTTCCAACCACCCTTCTTGCTATTCTGTCTTGAAACTACAGCAGGCCTCACTCCCTGAACCCTCTACCTGGAAAGTCCCACTTATTCTTCAAAATCCAGCTCAGATGTCACCTCCCCTTAAGACTTTTCTGAATGCCTTAGGGAGAGATCACATTTTTGGTTTTTGCCCCCAGGCTCCTCACCATCACTGCTGGATCTTTTGTCCCATTACATTGTATTTGTATAGTTCCAGCGTGCAGAACTATTTCCTATTCATCTTTGTGTACTTGGAGTCTGGAAAAGTTGCTGATACATAGTATGCCTCCAGTATATCCGAGACGAGTGGGGGAAGGAGAGAAAATGGACAAAGAACCAGTGGATTCCAGCACCACCGTAAATGAGCGTCTTGAGTTTTTAAGCTAATACTGGAACACATATTACTAAAAACATCTTGGGAAGGGATGCTATTCAAACTGAGTCACTCCTATATTCAAGATTTTAAAGAGAAGAAAATATGGACCCCACTACCTGCTTCCTCTACACTCCCCTCCCCTGCACCCTACTCCAGATCCTCTAACAGACAAAGTAGTATATCTTAAATAATTTGGGTCCAAATTGGCCTCACACTCTGAAAGAACCTTTTCAATCAGCTGGCCAAGTGCACTTATGCCAGCGTTGTTTCTGGGCAGACAAATTGTATGGATGAGCTTTACCCCTACCACTAAATACCTCTGATGGTTGGCAGCAGGAAATAGAGTCACTGGAAGTCAGCTTGCCTGCTGGCGTCGAATGACTACAGGGCAGGGGTTGGGCAGGGGTTGAGGCTGAAAGTATCCTTAGAGTTGATTATGAGCATGGTAGAGCTTCCTCAGTCTTCCCAGTTACTTCCCTGAGTCACTGGCCAATGACAGTCACCTGGTTGCCATTGGCCTGGATTGTTGGGCCCCGGGAATCAGTCCACCAACACCAGAGGAACAGCCTTGAACCAGAGGAATGAGGAGGCCCAGCCAGGAGGACCTCAGAGGATGTGCTAGTCAGCCAGGATGGACAAGATCCTCTGCCCCTGACTTCTCTGCGGGTTCTATTCACTCACCCACCTCTCTGAGTTCTGTAATAATGCCTGGAGGGAGAGACACAGAACACCTCGCCCCCGGGATTCAGGCTGCTGTGGACACTAGGCTCTGCTTTTCAGCGCAGTCCATAGGTCCTGCATCTCCACTTGGAGCGGGCGCCTTCTCTGACTTGACTTTTGTGGGTGAAGTGCCAAAGATCTAGTGTTACCTTGGCTACCTCTTCCCAGAGAAGACTCTTCCGAGAATGATGTCCTCCTGGACTCGTCAGTGGTACCCTCTCTTCTCCTTGCACTTAATTCTAGAAAGGAAAATAAACAAGCTGGAGTGGGGGAACACTTCTGAGAATGAGAGCTTTGTTTCAGGGTGAAGACCAAGTTACTGTGAAAATTTCCAGGGACAGATGTGAGATGGGGACATGGTAACCAGCATATGTATTATGCAGATAGCCAGGGCTGGTCTCGGGAGAAGGCAGGATGGATGAGAACTAACCTCGAGGGCCTGAGAAGTCTCTTTCCCACGTCCGTCTATCAGAACTTCTAAAATCGTGGTGTTAACCACTCAGCCCTCTGGACTGAGACTCGGCGCTTTCTGAGCATCCTCGAGTTAGAGGACACGTCTCGGAGCACTGAATCCTAAGCTGTTAAAGGCAAATTCTTCTGTTTCCTCCCCATGTGTTTTCTCTCTTGTCAAACATCACATTGAGTTTAACCCGACGTCATGACGTGCTTGACACGTTATACACACGATCTCGTCTAGGCAGGGCAGCACACAGGGAGACCCGAGGGGGCTGAGCAGGGCAGCCGCCCCTGGTGTGCTAACGAGGGCTTATCAAGCGGCTCTCGGGAAGAGACTCTGCCTGACGGGCAACCCGCCGGTGTCAGTGGCATCGGTGCTCTCACCCCTAAGGCTCGGGACAGCCCTCCGCTGACGAGTCTCTGTGCGGCTTTCCCCCCTCGGCGCTCTGCTCGGGGCCGGGCCACGGCGATGGCCTCCCCGCCCCCAGCTCTGTCTTCGCCCAGAGACCGCCGAGGCCCCGTCCCCTCTGCGTCCTGGAGTGCTGTCTAGGCGGGGCCCTGCGGCCAGCACAGGGCTCACTCCTGCGTTTCCCTGCTCTCGAGGGTTGCTCTGATGTCTTAACATTGTTGTTCCCTGTGTTTTTCAGGCAAGAGGATGTGTCTGGTCCTCGTTACCCCAGTGTTGCTGGGAAGGCTGTCTTCATCTTTGATTTGTGACCCTACATTCATCACTTACGTATGAAATTCTTACACATAATAGGATCTATTCCTGTTCCGCTGAGCTTCTTAATGCCAGTACCATATAGTTTTCATTTTTGAGACTGTGATAATCTCTGGATCATTTAGACATTATTATTAAGACGTTATATAATGTCTTAAAGGATAAGTAACACACCCACCCTCACCTTCTTAGTTCAAAAGTATTTGTCTGTCTTTCTAGATGAACCTCAGAATCATCATGCAAAGATCTACCTAACCCATCTCTCTGAAGAGTTTTTGGTAACATTTTTATTATACTTCCATAAAGCTTATACATGAATTTCAGAAAGATTGGCAACTTTACAAAATCAATCTTCCTATCTGATAACATGTTTCTCATTTGTCAAATCTCCTGGTCACACATTGAAGGTTATTATTGCTTTCTTGAATGTAACTTCCTTGTGTATTTTCTAATTAATAAAGTTAACCTGTTTAGCTTAATATAGTATGTTAATAAAGTATAACTGACTTTGTGTCCAATTACTCTACAGAATGTTTTAACAAGTCAAATTGTTTTTCAGGTTTTTTATTGGGGAGAGGTTTGTAGGTATGCTCTTCTCACTATCTACAAATAAAATATTTTCTATTTTTCCATGTATATATTTTTATTGCTTCATATTTGAAATTAACCTGAGTTTCCAAATTAATCATTTATAATAACAAGAGTTAGTGGGATTGTTCAGGGTCTGCCTAAAATAAAAATTCTAACTATTTAATAACAAACACTGAAGCAGAATATTTTAGAATTAGGATATGTACTCAATTGAATATGGGACTTACTTGTCATACTTGGAAGCATGACATTCACATTTTCTTTACTCCGTGACACCCTTTTCATTGCTTGCTGGATTTGCCATTGTTTTGGAGACAGTTTCAGCAGAAAAAACCCATACTTCATGTACTCTCTAAGGAGGAATTCTGTTTTTGCTATTTCACTACTCAAAAGAAAAATAGATATGGTTAGATATACTTGTGTGAAACCATGTTCATTTTTTAAATAGGTTTTACAAAAGTCATTCTCTTGATCATGTATTTGAATAATAATTTGCTTAACAAACACTGTAAATATAGCCATAAAAATAGGGATTCAATAAGCTATGAGACAAGAGGCAAGAAACCTGTAGGAATGTTATTTGAACAAAAATGCCCAAGGATAGGCACATATAGAAGAGACTGATGATCAACTTACTGGGTAATGGCTCACTACCCAACATGCATAGATGCCAATATCATGGCACTAGCTTTTGAGAAAAGAAAGAGCATTCTTGAGATCGACTGGCAAGAAGACAGGAGGCAAGCCTCTTAAATCTGTCTCCTTCCTGGTCAGTCACCCTCTCAATAAAGCCCTTTCTTTTCTCAAAAGCTGGTGCCATAGTACTGGCTTCTCTGTGTATCGGGCAGCGCGTCCTTGCCTGGAACAACTTTGGTGAACCACAAAGGGACCTTGGTCTTACGAGGCCAGAGGTGCCGTGGCCCCTAGTGGAGCGTGTGCCCTCGCCACCGAGCGGCCACCTAGGCCAAGTTTGTCTAGAAGGTCGGCCGTCGGGTTCCTGCTCCTCCGGCCTGGCATGCCAGGCTCCTTGGCACTGCTTTCACTTTTGAGAAAAGCAGCAACTCCCAAATCAGACGTCTTTTGGGTGAGTAACCTCACTAAAATGCACCTGTGCCTGTCTAATAAGCTTCTCAGGATTATGGGTTAGAGCCCCACCCTGGGGAGATTTTTGTTGGGTTAGAGTCCCAAGGCTAAGATCATGTAGTAGAGCCCCACCCTATGGGAGACGGTATAAAAGGTTGTAGCCGAGGTACTCGGAGGATGGGGTTAGAGTCCCAGGCCTTTGAATTTTGTTGTTTGTCTCTGTTTATCTACATCTGGCTGTTTTATGAGTTAGGATTGGCCAACAGGGGTTGGATGACTATAGCAAAACTTTATTAAACCAGATATGAATGAGGGCTCTCATTCCCTAGAAGACTTAATGTTAACGGAGGTGTGGGGTGTTTCTTCTGGTTTTTTTTTTTTTCACCTGAGCCTAATATGATGGCCTAATGGTATTGATACCGGTGTGTATTCTCAATGGAACGAGCCCTGGTTACTTTGTTGGGGTGAGAGGATAAGGGAGGGAGGAAAGCGTGTAAAGCAGGAACATCCCCCACCCCAGTGAGACATATCCTGTTCTTGGGTTAAAGGAATCCTATATGGCTGGAGCAGTTATGTTGGTTTTCCCTCACTGGGAATTTCAGCCCTTTTCTGTGAGCCAAACTAGCAGGGAGTTAGCACTGAACTGCTTGTAAGCCTCTCTCTACATAAAAGGAAGGTTTGCTTGGAAGAACAAACGTAAGTGGTGGTGCTAAAGGCCAGGGGCTACACGGAGGCCTTGGGCTGAGTGCATTCCACCTGGAAATAGCCCAGGTGTCTAGATTAGCATGTTTGTGATTTCTGCCAGGGAGGTAAAATGTTTCGGCCATCCAGGAAGAATAATCCCAACATGCTCAGAAAGGAAGTGAGGGTTTGTATATTTCAGCCTCTATCTTCCCGAATTCCTCTCTCAAATTCATCTCTGACTGCGCTAAGACAGCCTCCTCCCTTCACTTTTTGCAAGGTGGTACAGTCATCTCTTTCACCCTCCCCCTCATCAGGTAAGTTTTCCAAACTGGCGAGTGAGACAGGCTGGACTTTCACAGATGCCTCTGCAGTAAGCAAGCCTGCCCCCAGTACACAGAGGGGAAACTGTTAGGAGGCTCTGGCCAAACTGTCTCGTCTTGAAGGTGCTGGGAGCTTCCTCGGCAGCTGGGAGCGTGGGTGGCTTTGGGGCCACAGTCCTGGCAATCGCCTCTAATGGAAAGCTTCTCAGTGTCCCACGAGAAGCTTCACACCCACCCTGGCCATTTCCGGCTGCTCACTGACTTCTCCAGGGAGCTCTCACAGCCAGCTTGTGAACAGTCGCTACCGCATTTGCTTGCTTCTTTCCAGAAACCAGACTAGGATATGGAATTGGTTCCTACATGGTACAGTTCCTGCTTTCTCTCTCACACCTCCCAAGACTGACTGATTTCCCTCTGCTCTTTTGCAGTGGGGAGGGTGGGAAGGCATTTTCTTAGAGTTTTGCAATGCATAGACTATTCTCTTGGGTGTGAAATCTGGGGTGTTGATTTCAGAGTTGCTTGCTTGCACACTGTCTCTTGCTTATCCATTCTCAGAGGGGCCAGCTGAGCCTCAGAACCAGCACTGAGGCAGAAAGTCCATTGAGGGGGCCAGGATCGAGTGTGCCTAGGTGCTCCCTATAAAGGAGCAGCATGTGCTCTGGGCCCCAGATTGGCAAACCCTGGCGCTTTCCATCATCTCCCATGAACCCAACGGTTTTCCAGGTGCAGCCAGCACTGCAGCATCCCATGGACCCCGAGCCTCTTGTAAGACTGACGTCCAGGCCAATCTATGGAGGCTGGGGAAAGGCAGCAGGCACTTGCTCACGGCAGTTGTTCCAGGCTCTTCCATGTTTTTTCTGGCCAAGAAGCAAAGTGCTTTGAGCACAACAGGAGACAACGCAATCAGCCAGCGGCAGAGCTCCAACTTCACTGGGGGCTTGTTTTCCCCCAGAGGACAGGCTCCCACATGTAGTCCTGGCTGTCCCACCATCAGCTCTGCCTCGCACTGTGAATATCAACTTTCCTCAGATCAAGAGAAAGCAGGTAGAAGACATCTGACTGGCTTCTCTAACTTGCTTTGCATTTTTTTTTTCAGCAGCAAAACTATACTGGGTCTTTATATCAGAATAAGAATTTTTAGAACAGATGTAAAATTATGGTTCAAGGTAAGACTCAGAAAAAGCCTGTCCTGCCTGAAGTCAGAGCCTAATGATGATCTTGACTCACTACATTTGGCTCCTCCTTGGGCGCCCAGTGTTTTCCTCTTTTTAAAAAAATGTTATTGAAGTAAAATTGATTTACATGTTGTTAATTTCTACTGTACAGCAAAGTGATTCAGTTATATATACATTCTTTTTCATATTCCTTTTCATTATCACAGGACACTGACTATAGTTCCCTGTGCTGTATAGTAGGAATTTATTATTCATTCTGTATACGAGTTTGTATCTGCTAATTCCAAACTCCAGTCCTTCTCCCACACCCTGCCTCTTGGCAACCACAACTCCGTTCTCTATGTCTGTGAGTCTCTGTCAGAGATAGGGGCACTGGTGTCATGTTATTTTAGATCCCACACATAGGTGACACATGGTCTCTGTCTCTTTCTGACTGCCTTGGTGTGAGCGTCTGGGTCCGCCCGTGGAGCTGTGGACGGCGCTGTCTCCTGCACTTTTATGGCTGAGCAGTGATCCACCATGTACACACACCGCATCTTTATCCGTTCGTCTGTCGACGGACACTGAGGCCGTTCGCACGCCTCGGCGACTGCAAGGAGCGCTGCAGTGAACACGGGCGCATGTCTTCTCAAATGGCAGCTTTCTCTAGATTTATGCCCAGGAGTAGGATTTCAGGATCACTGGGCAGCTCTGCTTTAGTTTTTTGAGCAAACTCCATACTGTTTCCTACAGTGGCTGCACCAATGTACATCCCCACTAACTGTGCAGAAGGGTTCCATTTTCTCCACACCCTTTCTGGCATGTGTTATTTGTAGACTTTTTAATGACAGCCATTCTGACCAGTGTGAGGTAATACTTATGTACTTTTGATTTGCATTTCTGTAATAATTAATGATGTTGGGCATCTTTGCATGAGCCTGTTGGCCATCTGCATGTCTTCTTCTGAATGTCTAGGTCTTCTGCCCATGTTTGACTGGATTGTTTTTTGTTATTGAGTTGTATGAGCTATTTGTATATTTTAGAAATTAAGCCCTTGTTGGTTGCATCATTTGGTCCCATTTGTTTATTTTTTGCTTTTAGTTCTATTGCCTTGGGAAACTGACCTAAGAAAATATTGGTACATAAAATCCTCATTTTAATATCAATGTTAATTTCAACAAGTGTGAGTACAAATATAAAAAATACTGCCAATTATAATTGTAAGATAATTGTAAAAATAGTAAAAGCATCCTAAATTCAGAGATGTTAAAATGGGGTGGGCGCGGGGGGAAACAGTGCCTTAGAATGAAGAAAAAAGAACATTTAGGAAATTTGTTTACCTCTAACACTGGTTTCCTTCTTTTCAGCTAATATCTTGTAATGACAAGTTAGAGAAACTTTCCAGCCAGAGGTCACTGTGTCCTGGTCCCCAGGTAGAGACAATCCTTGATCAACAAATTACTTATTTTTAAAATGTGTTCATACTTATGAAGTCACCAACTGACCAGGATTAGTCCCCCTGAGGTCTTGCCAGGCACCAGTAGATTTCAGTGGGGGCAGGGACAAATGATGGGTAGAAGACAGGCCCAGCCTCACCTTTTCACCGACTGGATCTCCAAACTCGCCTTCTTGAGTTCCGCCGTCATTTGCAGCTTGTTTATAGTTTCCTGCGCCGCACTGGAAGAAATAGATTTATTAGTCTGTTTGGTATTGGGCTGTGTTCTGAGAAACTAACAAGAAGAAAGAAGGGGGTAAACAGCGATTTGGACAAAGCAGTGGGGGGCGGGGGAGAAAACGAACATTTTGAGAGCATCTACAGATCTCTGGTCGTTTTCTCGAAGGAACTCTTCAAAGGCCGCCGCGTCTTCTTCAAGTTTTTTTTCTGCTTTCATGAGTTGCCTTTCCTTCATCGCTGTGTGTTTTTCAAACCTTAGAATGGTGTTTCTTTTGGTTGACAGAGTATACTGGGAATATTGAAAACACAAGTTCATCAAGAACATGATTCCACATTTCTAGCACATTTCAAAGGTCTCAAAACAAAGGGGAAAATAACCTGCCTGGTCTGTGATCATTTGTATTAGAAATAATAGCGTGCTGCAGTGAAGGAATTTCATGAAGGAATTCTATTTTCAGGGTAGTTAGAATGGAGACTAATGCCTCTCTTTCACTTTTATGAAGAGGCTTGATATTGTTCCAAAATAGCCCCACAAATAAGAACAGCTATGTGTCTCCTCAGGCTCTATCCTAAAAAGGGGGGTAGGGGCATGTTCCATATTTCTCCAAAAAGCAGGTCCACTTAGTGTTACCCACAGTGTCCTCCGCTACTTTCTGGGCCTTGGGAAATTGGATTGTCTGCAATCACAAAGGCTTTCCTATAGGAAGTACCGTGGGAGAGTCAGGGTCCAACAATTCCTCCAAGCCAGCCCCAGGGTCAGGGGGAGCGCAGGGCTGGGGGAGTGGGGTGGGAGAGTGTTTAACCAGCCTCAAAGCACCCTGTTTAGATCCTCCAACACAACTTTGATAGCTAGATTCTGTTTTGGTTTTGGGTTTTTTTTTTTTACTACATAATGTAAAAATCTACTTGTATTTTTAATGCCATGCATGAAGAATAAAGTATAAACAAAGCCACAAACATTATAATGTGAATGGATTAGAATGTGGAAATGAGATAACTTTAAAGGAACAACAACCAGGACTTCACTGGTGGTACAGTGCAGAGGACACGGGTTAGATCCTGGGTCCGGGAAGATCCCACGTGCCTCAGACAACGAAGCCTGTGCCCCCCACCAGGGCCCCGGGGGGGCCAAAATAAATAATCAGTGAATTCACTTTTTAAAAGTACAGTATTTCTAAATATGAATGGATGTAAAATAAAAGATTAAAGGAAAAAGACAACCAAAACTTAGATACTCCACGTGTATAACCGCCAAATATTTGTTACTTCATTTGCCAAACAGTTACTGTGTGCCAGGTCTGTTTTAATGGTTCTGTTGGAGCAGTGAACAGAATAAAATGGATTGCTTTTGTGAGGTATTCATTCTAGCAGAGGGAGATGTCGGTTAAAGAGGAATAAGTGGTCCAGGGGGCAAGGGCAGGAGATTACCACCATGTATAGCCCAGGAAAGACTCCCTGATACAGTGAAAACTTAACAGAGACTGGAAGGAAGTAGGGAGCAAATCATGTAGACATCTGAAAGAGGAATCTTCTTCCCAGAAGGAAAAGCCCCCTGTGCAAAGGTCCCGAGGAAGCGTGACTGGTGTGTCCCGGGAGCAGCGAGGAGGCCAGCGTGGCTGAAGCACAGGATGGCAGGGAGGAGGTCAGAGAGTGCGCAGAGCTGGGGGCAGAAAAGTCACCTCTTCAGCAGAGGAGGGGCCGGGCCAGACTGACTACAGGGGGCAAAACTGGAAGCAGGAGACTAGTACTCGGAAGGTACAATAATTCATTTGGGTTTTTTTTTTTACTACATAATGTAAAAATCTACTTGTATTTTTAATGCCATGCATGAAGAATAAAGTATAAACAAAGCCACAAACATTATAATGTGAATGGATTAGAATGTGGAAATGAGATAACTTTAAAGGAACAACAACCAGGACTTCACTGGTGGTACAGTGCAGAGGACACGGGTTAGATCCTGGGTCCGGGAAGATCCCACGTGCCTCAGACAACGAAGCCTGTGCCCCCCACCAGGGCCCCGGGGGGGCCAAAATAAATAATCAGTGAATTCACTTTTTAAAAGTACAGTATTTCTAAATATGAATGGATGTAAAATAAAAGATTAAAGGAAAAAGACAACCAAAACTTAGATACTCCACGTGTATAACCGCCAAATATTTGTTACTTCATTTGCCAAACAGTTACTGTGTGCCAGGTCTGTTTTAATGGTTCTGTTGGAGCAGTGAACAGAATAAAATGGATTGCTTTTGTGAGGTATTCATTCTAGCAGAGGGAGATGTCGGTTAAAGAGGAATAAGTGGTCCAGGGGGCAAGGGCAGGAGATTACCACCATGTATAGCCCAGGAAAGACTCCCTGATACAGTGAAAACTTAACAGAGACTAGAAGGAAGTAGGGAGCAAATCATGTAGACATCTGAAAGAGGAATCTTCTTCCCAGAAGGAAAAGCCCCCTGTGCAAAGGTCCCGAGGGAGCGTGACTGGTGTGTACCGGGAGCAGCGAGGAGGCCAGCGTGGCTGAAGCACAGGATGGCAGGGAGGAGGTCAGAGAGTGCGCAGAGCTGGGGGCCAGAAGTCACCTCTTCAGCAGAGGAGGGGCCGGGCCAGACTGACTACAGGGGGCAAAACTGGAAGCAGGAGACTAGTACTCGGAAGGTACAATAATTCATTTGAGACCTACTGGGGACGTGGACTACAGCGGCCTCAGAGCAGGTCGTGAAAAGCAGTGTGACTACAGATACATTTGGAAAAAATATATCCCAAAGGGTATTTGGATGTGGGTTGTAAGAAGGAGTTGAGGATAACCCCAATGTTCTGGGACAAAGTAACTCGAAACATGGAATTGCTGTTGACAGAGACAGGAAACACTGCCTGAGATTCAGGTTTGCAGATGCAGGGGAAAGGATAACAAGGGAAGTTTTGGAAATGTGAAGCCTGACATCCCTATGGAGCATCTTAAGTAGAGATGTTAAGAACTACGGTTATAGTCGTTGGGTCTGAGTTGCACTGGTGAATTTGGAGTTCAGGAAGGAAAATCACAAGTAAATTTGGAAGCTCTTAATAGGATGGTAAGATTTAAAGCCTCCAGCCTGGAGGAGGGTGGATAGAGTGTAGGGTGAAGTGTGAACCCTGGGGTATTCTAGCATTTTAAGATCAGGGCACAGAGGAACAAGAAAACTGTGAAGGAGTGAGCTGTCAGTGCTGTGGAAGAACCAGGACACAGGGGGTCCTGGGAACCAGCTGAAGAAAACTGTTTCAGGTGAGGATGATCACCTGGGCCAACAGATGCTAGAAGCAGAAGGAAGACTGAAATGACTGAACTGGGCAGTAGAAGCGGTGCTGGTGGAGTGACAACTGAGTGGGTCTGGGAGAGGCTGAGTCTCTAGGATGGGGGGCGCAGTGGGGCTGGGCCTGTCGTGGAAATGTCAAACGTCCAGGTGAAAATGTGGCAGTGCATTCAGGAAGTCTGCAATTCAGCTAACAGGAGAAAGAAAGTATTTTAACTACCTCGAGCATAAACCTGTCTCTCTGGTCATTAATAAATTCATGGGTGGTCCTTTTTGTGTCTGCACCTTTAAAGAAAATTGAAATAGACAGGTTTGGTTCATTATCCCTCAGAGATGTTATATGAAATAAAGGCTATGTAATTAAATTATTGCATACAATATGTATCTGAGTTTTAAAAATACTATACTTTTAGAAAAACTTTTTTCCTAGCCACTGAAAAGTTACTTTAACAATATTATAGTAACTATCATTTATTTTATGTCCATATTCCAAGAACTTCACTAGACTCTTTACATCCATAATTTAACTTAATTCTTTTTTTTTTTCATAATTTAACTTAATTCTGTTAATACCTCCAATAAGGTTCTTGTTACTATCCCCATCCTGTGTGTGAGGCCCTGAAGCTCAGAGATGTCACGAAGCTTGTCCAAGATCACACAGCTAACAAGTGGCAGAAGGTATAGTCACTGGTATATCATTACCCAGCATTTGCCTCTTTTTCATACAGTTACCTGACACTAACAGTAAATATTCAAAATGATATTCTTAAACAAACAGTAATTTAGACTTACCTTCTGTTAATCTGAGAATAAGAGTGGGATCTAGCCCCAGTCGCTCAACTGAGGCATCACCTGTGTCGGCGAAGATTGCTATTTGGCCCAGGTGTGAACGATTCTTCATTCGTGATGAAAAAGTAGACTTTTGGTAGACTTTCATGCTGCGGTTCATGAACTTTTCCTGCCCAAGTGAAAAAGTTTAACAGAATTTCTAATGTACCAAAATGATGTTGTCTTAAAATAGTGATCGTATATATATATCATTTGCAACAAGTCCTTTTCTCAGTACTAGTTTGTTAAACAAGCAGCTTCAAGTTCTCATGTCTGAAAGGTTTTGTCTGGTTTTCAATCCCTTCTCATAGGAAGCTGAGCACAAAGAAAGAACAGTCAAACTTGATTAAACATGAACTTCACAAACAGGAGATTAGAAAGTGATCTGGTTTTAATTTCACAGTTTCATCTAGCTCAGAATGCAGGTCACTTGGAGATTGCACTGATTGAAAAGGATTGATTCTGTGGAATTGAAAACTTGAGAGCAAACAGACCTCCCAAGTAGACATTAAAAAAAAAAAAATCACGCAGTGATGTGGGGTCTGATCATACAAGCAGGGAAATTAACTGCAAGGCATAGTTGGGAAGTAGGCCACAGTTTCATACCAACTCATTCTAAAATGACGCCTTTTCCTCCACTTTTATTCCATCTTCCTCCCCAGTACACACATATACATTCTCTTATTTGCATCTGCCTGGCAAATACTGACTTGTTTTTAATGCTTCAGTTCTTGTAATCTCCTCAGTAGTCTCTATACACATACCCCATCATGGCTCCCACCACCCTCTTCCCTTTTTTCACCAACAAATACAAGTGTCCCTTTCTCTATGCATGCTTCTGTTACTGTATTTCAACTCTAAGATGTCATTTGTAAGATGCACTATCATTTTATGCAGTGCCAGTGCTGTATGGCATCCCATCTATGTAGCTGAGTCCCAATTTCAGAAATGTGAAAATGCAAGAAAATGTGGGCATCAGAATCGGCGGATAGGGTATACTGCACCTGTCATACCAGAATGTAGAGCTGTGCCTGTATTCTCCAGTAGGTAGTGATCACTAGCTCCCTACCACGGCTGGACACTGTCCTAATATAGCGATTACACCATCTCCTAGCACAGTGGGAGACACGCAATCTGACATCTGACTCTATGTCTCAACCCAGCAAAGTTCATAAAGGTGATGGCTAAGAGGGTATGATTCTAACATTGACTGCCACTGTGGTTTATCTTACCCTTTTCTTTGCTGCCATTTCATTTTCTTTGAAGAGAAAGAGATCTTTAAAAAAGATTTTATATGGCCTGTCCTTTTTGATCATCTCATCTTTTTCTTTCTCTGTTTAAAAAACAAACAAACAAACAAACAAAACAGAAAACTTCTGTCAATCCTCCTGTTGACCAGAACAGCAAGGCTCCCACCATCCAGGGGAAAGTAAGTGAGGGCACCTGGGTCTCTGAGGAGGAGGATCCATGCAGCCTTGCCCCCAACAAGCCGGGGATGTAGGGCCTGGATCATGGGGGCAAAAGCCACAGTTCCTCTGATTCCTGGGGAAAGGGGGAGGAGCCACTGCCCCAACCAGTACAAGGTAGATGAACACACAACACTGGACTGATGAGACTGGCAGCAATTTAATCAGTCACATACGCCCCAGTGTGGGAGGATGCCGTGGGCCACGCAGGGCCATACCACATCACTCGCGCACTCAGAAGCAGCGGACCAGAAGGAGCGGCAGGAGGCAAGCTCTGTCATAACAAGAGGGTTGAATGACCTCTGGTTCCTACAGGAGGACGTGACTGACTTGTTTGAATAGTTTCACAGGCTGGCAGGAACGTGAAACCCATTATGTTGAAGAGCTATGAAGCGTAGGCTGGTCCTGCTGATAGAGGAATTAGCTTCATGGGGAACACTTTCCACTTGGTGGATGTCAAATCTGCCAAGAGCAGGAGGACTTACGGTTAAGCCTTTAGAGTCCGCTGAGGCTCCAAGATGTCAAAGCAGAACATGAAATTTTAGGTCTTGTAATAAATGAGCAGAGACAGTTGAGGGTGGGTCCAGGCAGCTTGGGCTTGGAGATGGAGTGTGGATAAGAGTAGGCAATAGGCTTGATGGCTGCCCCAGGTGAGGGAAGGGAAGGTATGGGGCGCAAAGTATTGTCAAGATCCTAACTTTCGTGGGTTCTGGTGGGTTCAGAGGGTCATATAATGTTATTAATATCTAACTTTATTAATTTATAAGCAGGTCATGGGCTCAGGAAACTGGTCCCAAAGATGCTGTTCATTGCTCTGTGAGTAATAAAATCCTTTCACTGTGACCCAAGAGTTTTGTATCCAAGCAACTGTGGAAAGCAAACTTATTAGTTTGTAAATAGGGGAACATCTTAGATCCCTCATAGTTCTTGACAAAGTAATACAAAATTTTTAAGAAAGGAGGGATCATCTAATACATACTATTCTATTATACTGCATCTTGGTTTTATCAGTTGGCAATATCTTAGAAGTTCTTTCCATATCAACACATATTTATTTAGCTCATTAAAAAAAAGCTATCTAGTAGCCAATTCTTTGGATGTATTATACTTAATATAACAAATCCCATATCAATGGACATGATGGTTGATCCCAGTCTTTTGCTATTATAAATAATGCTGCACTGAATATTCTTATACGCCTATCTTTAATCACTTGTTCAAATGTATCTGTAGAAGAAATTTCCAATATGGTCCTATTTAAATGCTTTTTAAAGTTTGATAGTGGAGCAGAGGCTACTAATGGTTCTCTGATACCCACTCTCCATTATTCTAAGAAAGACAGCCTTCAACTCTAACTTGGCACATGGGCCCCCAGAGTTAAGACTATATGTCTCAACCTCCCTTGGAGCTAGATATAGCCATGTAAATAAGTTCTGGCCAAGGGGATGTCAGAAGTGGTGAGTGACGCTTCTAGGAAGTGTCCTAAAAAGAAGGAGTGTGTACCTCCCTTCCTTAATCTCCCCCTTGCTGGGAGGAACATGGGTGTTATTGCTGGTGTGGAAGCAGCCATCCTGGATAAAGAATACAGATCAGCAACAAGCTAAAAGCCTGGGCCCCTGATGTGAGCTTTCATAGGAGCCGTGGAAAGCTTCTATCCAGAGTTTGTTACTTAAGAGAGAAATAAACGTCTGCCATGTTTAAGCCACTGCTGTTTTATATTTTCTGTCAAGTGCAGCTTAAACCTTTTAATTCTAAACACAGATAGGGCTACGTTTTTTCCAAAGACAATGCCTCTAGAGCACCTGTTATCCACAACGCATTCTTGGTGTTGTCCAATTTTTAAATCTTTGTCAAATTTATAAGTGATAAAAGGTTATTCTTGTATACAGACCAATACAAATTCCTTGTCCATTTGTAAAGAAGCAGAAAAATGAAGAGATAAAGGATGATAAAAGAAAGGAGAAGACAGATTTTGATAAAGGGTAGTTCTTGTGTCCTTTATTATGATGAATAATTGAGCTAATTATTTTATATCATGAAGGTCTCTAAGAATGTAGCTAACTGTGATAATTTAATGCCCCTCTGATTTGAAGATTTTTTTTAGTATTAAAAAATAGAAGGGAACTTTCTCAGCAGGGAGTTCATAAACTCTTTACATAGAGAGACTAAGTCTGATCTTATTATGCAGCCATGCAATGTTCTCCTTTTCTTATTGCCCAGTCCACCATGGAGACTAACTGTTAACTAGCTACCAAGCAAGAACCCAGTAATTGATTTCTTCTTTACCTGCAGGAGTCACTGGTGATAGTGACAAAAACTGGGATGACATTTTGTGTCTTGGCCCTGTCCAAAGAAAAGGAAATACATTTTAAAAACTCTATAAACATTACATAATACATAGCACATGTAAAGGGAATCAATAGTCTCTAGAAGTTGTTCTACCTCTGTATTTTCATAGGTATTAATCCCTCTATTGACCAATGGGCTGATGATGAACATAAGGGAGAAGAAGAGAACCAACTATTCTTAGAAAGGGATTGTAAAGTTCTCAAACTAAACCAATAGGATATACTAACCAGGGGAAATAAGTCAAAGACAGTGAATGGTTTTTGTGTACAAAATAGAAATAGCAGGATGACTAAGGGGCTTCCCTGGTGGCTTAGATGGTAAAGAATCCGCCTACCATGTGGGAGACCTAGGTTCAATCCCTGGGTCAGGAAGATCCCCTGGAGGAGGGCATGGCAACCCACTCCAGTATTCTTGCCTGGAGAATCCCATGGACAGAAGAGCCTGGCAGGCTACAGTCCGTGGGGTTGCAAAGAGTTGGACATCACTGAGCAACTACGCACAGCACTCCCAAATGAGAGGGAAAATGTTGTCAGATTGCCTAGCAGATGCCTGCAAATTCACATCTAAAATACATGTACAAACCCAACTTCCAATGGAAGAAAAAGAGAGTTGGAAAACCAGGGATTGAAAATGGTAATGTTTGATTGCAAGCCATCATTTTTAGAGGAAACACAGGCTTGTGATTAAGAGCCTGGACTCTCATTATGCTTCTTCACCCTTACCCCTCAATTTCCCCATCTTTCAAAAGGGATGGTAAGAATAGCACCTACCTCCTGAAGTTGTTATAGGAGTTAGCATATGTCTTGCCCTTTGGACAGCATCAGAAGCATAGTAAGGGTCATACAGGTGTAGGCTCATGGAGAAAATACTCTAAGAATGGAAGATACTTGGTGTGTTTGAGAACAGCAAGAGACTAGTGGAGCTTAACCAGTGAATAAAGGGGAGCGTGACAGCCAAGGTCAAAGAGACAACAAGACCCTGTAGGTCATTTACTAATTGGAATAAAGATCATTAAATGAATCACTCTGAGTGCTGAGCTGAGAAGAGACTACAGAAGAGGTTGAGGGTCAGGTAGGGAGATCTGTTGGGATGCTACAGCTATTGAGAGGCAAGAGCTTACGGGGTCTCTTGGGACAGTAGTGGACGTGGTGATATATTTGGAAAGTAGAGACTATAGGACTGGGTGATGGTTTGAATATGGGGTATGAGATAAAGAGCCCAGGAATTAAAGGATGAAATTGCCATCAATGGAGACAGAGAAGACTGTGGGGAAAAGGGAGGTTGGGAAGAACAAAGGTTCAGTTTGGAATATGATAAATTTGAGATATCTATTAGACCTCTAAGGGGACTAATATAAATATAAATACACTAATATAAATAGATACTATTCTTCCAAGTGAACACCATGCTGGTTGGTTTAATTAATTCTTGCATTCTTCTAACATTATGCAATCACATGTGGTCACTGCATAATATAAAAGACAGGTCCTTTGATGCATGTCATCATAGGGTACCATGAATGCCACTGTGGAAAGACCCTAGCCTTTGGGGACAGGCATGTTTGAATCTTGTTTCTGACTCTTCTTGGCTCTCTCTCTTAGGCCTACCCGATGAAACTCAGCACATCTAAACTGCTTCTTCCAAGTATGGATACTAATTTTCTTTCAGCCTTACAGCCTTGTTGTAATTTCCAAACACAGATATTGTATGCAAAGTGCTTACTCATGATAGACAGATAGGGAAACAATTGCTTATACTTTCTTCAAAATAGATATCCAGATCTGTCTTCTTTCTGGTCCACTCTGTCTTATGAACAACCACAGTACTTGGAAAGAATAGGAGGGGTAACCGACAACCACTTTCATAAGAAACCCTGAATTGAAGTTCTTGAAACCAGGTTGTTTGAGAGGAGTAGACCACAAATATTGATACAAATTTGGGGAATCTGACCCACCTTATTGGGTTTCCCAAGTGGCACTACTAGTAAAGAACCCACCTGCCAATGCAGGAGACTTAAGAGATGCAGGTTTGATCCCTGGGTTGGGAAGATCCCCTGAAGGAGAACATGGCAATCTACTCCAGTATTCTTGCCTAGAAAAACATGTGGACAGAGAAGCCTGGCAGGCTACAGCCCACAGAGTCTCAGAGAGACCCACCTTAGCACAGATTCTTAACATTCCAAGCTTTGTGGGAGTAGAGAAAGAGGAACGGGGTTTGACATAATAATATCTAAACCTACAGTCCTAGAGCAACTTTCAATGAATTCCCAATAACAGTATCTAGCAGATGTTATTTGAAGCAGTTTGTGTTTGGTTTTCTCAACAGTTCTCTCTATAATTCAATGGAAGTGGATTTGCAGATTCTTTCATCAGGATATAGAAAACTTTGTCTCTGAAATGCAAATGAAGATTTAGACAGGTTCTCTCAGACCCAATGCCTTTCAATTTTTCCCCACCCCCTTCCCTCCCACTTGGACAAATATTCGGAGAGAGGGCTGTGAACTGTGTCCTTGGATGGTGTAGAGAGACCAGTGCAAGCAATCTTTTTTTATTTACCAGAAAGCTGGGAGCCACTACGTCCTTGGCCTGCTCCCTGACCTGCCTCTCTCGATTAGGTCAGAAGCAGAGCATGGTGATGAGGAAATTACTTTCAGCTTGACCTTAAAGTCCCCACTGGCGTCAAACTAGCTCTTCTGTATGGACTCTTCTGTTGACATTTCTGACTGTACCTTATGCAAACTGAAGAAATAATTGCAGGTCCAGGAGAAGGAAGAGTAGGTGAAAGAAACCAGTCAACGTGAGTCCCGTGGTGTGACAAGGACTTTGTAAATCAAAGAGCTGCAGATGCTGGTCATTCCAGAAGCTAAATGTGCTCTCTTCAGCCCTCTGCAATTACCGAACAATGACTGGAGGAGAGAAGTCTGCTCTTAACCTTCTCTTTCTGCAGACTTGTTTGCAGGGGCGTTTTTAGCAATGTTGTCTGTGTGGACTGTAATCGAATACACTCAGTTCACCCACAGATAAAATCCTCATGAAGAAAAAGGACAACTTCTTTTAGACTTACAAAGAACTTGTAAGCTTTAAACACATGGTAAATGCTTTGAAGGACTATCAGTTGAAATCAAATCTTTAACTTAACTGACCAGCAAGACAAATAACAGGATTAAAATAAACTGACAGTAATAATCAGTAATAATAGTATTACTTCTTTAGAGCTATGCACTGGGCTAAGTGATTTACACACCATCTTATTTAAAGCTCAGGTAAGTCCATAAAGTAGAAACAATCATCCCCATGATATAGGTGAGAAAATGGAGGCTTAGGGAAATTAAGCGAACCCCCAAGGTCAAACAGTTCATAAGTAACAAAAGCGGGATGAAGACAAGTTTATCAGACCCCACAGGCTTCTATGTTCCTATAATTCCATCCCATCCTTTATACCTAAAATTGTATATATCTGCAAATATGCCTATAAATGCAAAATGTAACTGATTTAGCAGAAATTTTATAAACATTAACATTTCTCTATAAATTAGTGACTTTATGTGTCTATATTTTCCACTGTTTCTACTTCTATTATTTCTCTGCATATATTATACTTTTCTTTTTTTTTTTTTATACTTTTCTTTTTAAAGCTGTGAAAGACACCTCTGTTTGTGATTGTGTGTCTGAGCTGTGGGTAATCTATAGATTTTTTTTTCTCCTTTAGTGTCTCTTATTTACATTATCTATTTAATTCTTTCCCATTTTTCCCTTCTCTTTCTTACCTGACTGATCTCTTTTTTATGGCCATAATATGAAGCTTAACTATATTCTTATTTATTGTGTTCATTTAAAGGAGTTCTTGCTTTCTGTTCTTTGTTATAAATGGCTTTATAATGACACAAAATTGACTTTTAGATTTTGTGGTTTTGCCAGCCTCAGCTTTCTTTGATCATATGTTATTTGCATCCATCAAGTGTCTTCCTTTTGACTGTAAAGTCTTTGCTGGGAAGAAAAAGGGCCTTCCTATCTTTGAATGTCCTACAAGGCCTAACAGAGAGCTTCTAATAAGTGTATAAACAAAATGAAATATTTAGAAGGCTCAAAATCCTGTGCCTGCCAGTGTACTCACAGCAACTGACAGGCAGGAAGAGATGTGGCTAAGAATTATACTTATACTTGAAAGTGAAGGAAAGTGAAGTCGCTCAGTGGTGTCCGACTCTGCGACCCCATGGTCTGTAGCCCACCAGGCTCCTCTGTCCATGGGGTTTTCCAGGCAAGAAGACCAGAGTGGGTTGCCATTTCCTGCTCCAGGGGATCTCCCTCACAGGGATTGAACCCGGGTCTCCCTCACGGCAGGCAGACGCTTTATCCTCTGAGCCACCAGGGAAGTCTCCTTACACTTGGGGTGGTCTCCAATCTTGGTGGCTAGTTGAGGGCAGGTCCCGCTGTATACAGTTGGGATGGGGAACATCAAGCTGAAACCAGTTTTACCTCAACAAGTTGGGATCCAGGAGCGTTTCCAACCTAGCCTTCAGGAAGGGGTTTAGGGGAAGCTGGGTGAAGGCGCCAATCGATTCTTCAGTCTCCGCTCGGTCCTCCCCCACTCCGGTAGTAGGAGACGGGAGTGCAGCTGGCCAACCGAAAGGTGGGAGGCACCGTCACCGCGCTCGCGGCCGCGCGGACCCGGAGCGACTCCACCCGCAGCGCCCCGCCACCGAGGCCCGCTCCCTCTGCGGTGGCCCCTGCGCCCCAGGCTGCCGCTCCAGCCCCCCTGGGCAGAGGAGTCTCCCCACTCCGTCCCCTCCCGGGGCTCCCTCCAGGTTCTCCCCCCACCTCCCCATTTCAGCTCCTCTGGCCGCGCCGTCTGGGCTGCGGGCGCCGCGGGTCGCTCGCTGCGGGGACCAGTCTGCCAAGTGCTCTTTCTATAACTTGTGCACTGTGGAGGGAAGCGGTATCAGGCTTCCGGCACCCCGGGAGATGGTTGTACGCCTGCCTTTCAGGCGCCTATTGCTAACGTGTTTGGCCACTTTGTGTTGTCATTCACTTGGAAAAGAAAAACACTCTCAAGCTGCGCAACCCACTGAGCCGCATCAGGATTGCGCTTCTGCTGATAAAATACGATTGCAGCAATCAGAAGGGGTAGGGGTTCTCTCCAATGCTTCCTGAAGTGTGGACAAGGGCCACCTGCCTCATATGGCCTGAGGTGTGTTTTTTTTTTTTTTAAGACAGATTTCTGATCCCTCCCCACCCCCGTATTCCCAGATCTCCCCCCAACAAGTTTTATTGAGATATAATTGGCATACAGCACTGTATAGATTTAAGGTGAACAGCATGAATTGACTTACATACATCATGAAATGATTACCAGCAAGTATAGTGAGCATCCATCCTTTCATACAAAGTCAAAGAAAAAGAAGAAAAAAAAAGTTTTCTTTGTGACCAGGACTCTTAGGACTCACTCTCTTAACAACTTGAATGTATAACATGTAGCAGTGTTCATTATATTTATCCTGCTATACATTACATCCCTAGTACTTTTGTATCTTATAACTGGAAGTTTGTACATTTTGATTACTTTCGTCCAGTCCCCACCACCCGCTCTGCACCTATCTTCAGGTCTTTTTTTTTTTTTTCCATTTATTTTTATTAGTTGGAGGCTAATTACTTTACAACATTGCACTGGTTTTTGTCATACATTGAAATGAATTTTTATTGAGATATAATTGGCATACAGCACTGTATAGATTTAAGGTGAACAGCATGAATTGACTTACATACATCATGAAATGATTACCAGCAAGTATAGTGAGCATCCATCCTTTCATACAAAGTCAAAGAAATAGAAGAAAAAAAAAGTTTTCTTTGTGACCAGGACTCTTAGGACTTACTCTCTTAACAACTTGAATGTATAACATGTAGCAGTGTTCATTATATTTCTCCTGCTATACATTACATCCCTAGTACTTTTGTATCTTATAACTGGAAGTTTGTACATTTTGATTACTTTCATCCAGTCCCCACCACCCGCTCCGCACCTATCTTCAGGTCTTTTGAATCAGGATCTCTGTGGGTGAAGTTTTGAGATTGGAATTTTTACAAAGCGTATCTTCCACCTACTTCTACTGTACCCCAAAACTTGAAACCCACAGAAGCCCTTTATGTGGTGATGGTTTGGGGTGATAGAAAATTTAAATTCAGCCACCAGAAAGAGAGGACATTTTTCAGTTATTTTCATTTAACCTTCTGAGAGTAAAAGAACAGCCGAAGCTTGGAAGTCAGACTTGGAGTGGGCCTGGGGGGTGGATTCCCATCTGAATCGAAGAGCCAGTGACGCTGAAATTACACGAGTTTCATCCCTTATCTGAGGCTGCTTAGGGTTGTGTAAGAGCGCAGTTTTTAGGGACTCTCTGTGTGTTTAATTAACAGAGGGATAAAAATATTCCCAGTGTTATGGTCAAAAATTTGTTAAAATCAGTTAACAAGAATTGCATGGATGTAGGAACCTAGGGTCAGTTGATAGCCATATTCCACGGAGTCCAAGGATCTAGACCCCTACCTTCTTGCTCAGCTGAGCACTCCACTGTTTCTCACAGTCACTCCATCGTCCAAGACGGCTGTGCCTTCTCCCATTATGATGTCTCCATTCCAGCCGGTAGGAAGGAAGAGAAGAAACTCCTACTGGCTAGAACTGAGTCACGTGGCCTCACCTGGCTGATGGGAGACTTGGAAATGAAGACTTTATTCTGGGTGGTCAAGACTTCAGCTAAAATTTAGGAATCTAGCACTGTGGGAAAAGGAAACATTGGTCTTGGGGAACAACTAGCAATCTCTGCCACACATGACTTTGCCTTGCGTGTGGCTAGAGTCAATTTCCAAAGACAAAAGCTCAAGAAGGAAATACAGTAAATATTGACTGACTGAAAGTAAGTTCATTATACTTACTGGTAATCATTTTATAGTTTAAATCATTGGTCAAATTTTTCACAATATTTCCTCCAAATTTAGTGATAATTTCTTGATTTTTCTTCAGAGATGGGTTCATAAAAGCCATCGGTCCTGCTGATGCTATCCAAAAACAGTTTTCAGAAGAAACATTTGAAGAAAGAATTGACTGTTCTGGGAAATGCATCTTGCCAGGTATTAACCTCTTTTGCAATAAAGGCCTGAAAGCAGTTTTAATAAAGAGGAATAGTAGTAGCTTGTTTTAAATAAGGTCTCACAATATATAAAAATATAATATCTACCATTTATTGAATTTCTACTAGTAAATGTCTTAACTGCTTTACAGACACATTTTCTTGTTGAGTGACACTCAACTGCCTTGTAAGTATCATTGTCTACACATCATAGATTAGAACACTGACGTTTATGTGTGAAATATCTTACCCAAGATCTCTAAACAGGTAAAGGACCAGCTGGAATCAAATGCACTCATTCACTCCACTTCTTTCCACTCACATGCTGAAAAGAAACCAGCTGTGTTGGGTTTGGGTTTGGGTTCAAAAACTGTCCAAAGAATTTTATTAATCCATTGCACAGGGGAGGCAAATAGGGCAAGCTGCTTTCTCTAATTCTAGAATAGACTCTAAATTTCTATAGAGTATGAGACAAAGGGCCCATCTCCAGGCAGAAAAAGCATAAGCCAAAGAACCCTAGAAATTTCACCAAAGTTCATTTTTATCGTTAGTGATTGACAACAGAATCAGTTTATTAGCCATGTTTTATAGCTTCCCTGGTAGCTCAGGTGGTAAAGAATCTGCCTGCAATGCAGGAAACCCAGATTGGATCCCTGGGTTGGGAAGATCCCCTGGAAAAGGAAATGGCAAACCACTCCAGTATTCTTGCCTAGAAAATCCCTGGCTTTTATGTAATCATCTGAAACAAAGTTCACACCAATTTTGAGTTTTGTGCAGACATAGAGGCTAGGGTTTATACTTTTAAAATGTGTACTCTGAATACATGACAGAACTTCTACTATCTGGCTCTTGGGGGTCAGGAGAGAAAGTCAGGGTGAAATCTGAGTAGAAAGAGCAGAATGTGGTAGAGAAAGCAATCCAAATAGGGACTTTTGGTTTTACTCTAATCAAAGCCACTAATGAATCATTTAATCCATAAGTACTTTAAATGCTCTGGAAAGACACAGTTTACCAAATTGTACCTGCATAAACAAAAGTTCCAAGTGGTTGCTTTAAGGTTTCTCTTTAATAAAAGCATATTTCTTTCTTGAAGAAAGATTTATCTTTATAATTTCATATTTTGCCTTCTCAAAGTGGAGGGTAGGGATTGTATTGTTCTTTTTCACACCTAGCTTATTCTTTGGTGATAGAGTCCTTGGTTTTGCTCAACTAGTAGGTTTGACATTCTGTTCTAAATTCTTGTTTGGAGAGCATGGATTTATTGGGCAAAAGGAGCTGTGTTTCTTTAGAGGATGTTTTCATCATGTTGATTCAGTCTTCCATTAGAGCCTTCTAGACCAACCATGGAGAGTCTTCTGGGAACCACGCAGACACCTTCTTCCCCCTCCACCATCCTCCAAGATGGCTATCACTGTCATGCTTTCCCGAGAACCGTATTAGAGTCTGTCTACTGTCCAAGTGCTTCTGATTTCATAACTGTAAACATGATGTGATTTATTGATTACAGGTTTAGTGGATGCACACACACATCCAGTATGGGCTGGAGAAAGAGTTCACGAGTTTGCAATGAAGGTAATTGCAGTAAACAATGGCAAATCAAAATAAAGCACAAATATATACAAAACTTTTTCTAGAGTTTGTAGGCTGTTAGACTTTACAACAAATGTCTATGTGTCTATTTAATGGATATTTTTTTACTAGCTTTGACTATGGAGATAAGTTACTACAAAGTTAACTAATTTATGACTTGGTGCCAAATCCTTATGTTATGCACAGGGCTGTCAATAGTTTGAAGTATAATAGTTTTCAAGATATTTTAGCTGCCAAATGCTCCTTTTAAAATAGAGTTTTACCTCGTTTGCTCACTAATTTCCCCTTTTCCGCCATTCCATTCCCTGGTAGCCTTTAAAGGGACTCCAGGAAGCAGTTTGAAAATCACCACTCACTGGGGTCAAAGTTGGAAAAATATATTATTAATCACAAAATAAAATAAGCTTTATATTGTTCCTACAGAAAAATGAGACATTAAGAAACATAAATTATAGTCTTTTATCAGGCATTAATTAGCCACAGTCAACCCTCACATCCCTGGTTTGAGCCATTTTCACACTGTTTATTTGCTTGTTTTTAGTAGACTTTTTTAGAGCAGTTTTATGTTCACAGCACAATTGTGTGAAAGGTTCCGAGATTTCCCATATACCACTGGTCCCCAGATTCTGACCAAAGCACAGCCTTTTCCATTTTCAACATCCCTGACCCGAGATGTACATTTGTCAGCATGGATGAACTTACAGTGACACATTATTATCACCGATAGTCCACAGTTCTTGTTACTGTTGACCCTTGCTGTTGTGCATTCTCTGGGTTTGAGGAAATGTCTGCTGACTGCATCCACTACTGTAATATCATACAAGGTAATTTTACTGCCCCCGCCCCGCCAGATCCTCTGTGCTCTGCCTGTTCTCTCCTCCTAAAAGCTAGTAACTGCTGACCTTTCTACTGTTGCCATAGTTTTGCTTTTTCCAGAATGTCATATGATTGGAATCCTACAGTATGTAGCCTTTTCAGATTGAGTTTCCTTCATATTTTTTCTTCACACTGTTTTTTTTAAAAAACTGTGTATCCTAAAAGCCAAATTGGATGATTTAAGAAAAAGAAAAAAAAATTATTCAAGTATTGTCTACCTTTCTCAACAATCTAGAGTTGTTTTTTAAGACTTTATTAAACCACTGAATTTCAGAGCCTAAAATGTAGAGGTTTGCAGTCCAGTTCTCTAATTATCTGATGCAGAAAGGACCGAGCCCACCAGCTTTTCGTGAACATGAAATCCTTGAAGATCATTTATTATCAAACCATTGAAACTTTCCTTAAAAGCTCTAGTTTGCAATACCTTGAATGTGGCAGAATTAAGAACAAAGGAAAGGGTATGGCAGTGGGAGCCCCCAGAATGGCATATTTTGCACCACCTTCCTTGCAGCTCAGAGTAACCGGAGATCAGCAAGATCTCAGAAGAGCCTTTTTATTTTCTTGAGTGACAGAGGTCAGGCCTGAAACTCCAGGCGGCCAAATACCGAGGGGTGGAAATGCTCTGGGTCTCTGGGTGGAGACTCAGGTAACGACAGTGGGATCCCCTAATCGCCTAAGCTTCACTTTCTCATAGGTGCTGAGATCAGCTGGTACACACTGGGACTAACTGGATTGTTAAAATACTTTCGTACCTGTTGGTAAATTGTCGCTACCCTGAGACCCCAGGTCCCTACCACGTCTCCCATCTCTGCCACCCCTGGTCCCTTCCTGGCATACCTCTGGCTCCCACAACTCCCCACCACCCTGGCAGAGTAGGGACTTCTAGAATTGTGTGTCCCAGCATCCTTTCTGATTGGCTATGGTGCCTACGTCATATCAGTTGTCAATCATGTTGAATATCATCCCTGGACAGAGGTTCTGCAGACCTGCCTGCAGCCTCCCTTCATTTTCCAGACCTAAGGGTGACCCTGTGTGTTCAGTTGGCAGGAGCCACATACATGGACATCCATCAGGCTGGAGGAGGGATCAACTTCACGGTGGAGCGCACTCGCCAGGCCTCTGAGGAGGAGCTGTATAGCTCCTTCCAGCAGCGGCTTGGATGCATGATGCGGGCGGGCACCACGCTGGTGGAGTGCAAGAGTGGATACGGCCTCAGCCTGGAGGCGGAGCTCAAGATGCTGCGGGTGATTGAGCGTGCCCGGCGGGACTTGGACATCGGCATCTCGGTCACTTACTGCGGAGCCCACTCCGTGCCAAAGTAACCTCAACAGAAGGGACCGGGGTTTAACTCGGGCAGTTGAAAACCAGAAGGGGTCATGTGGGGGCGTCTGAGTGGGGGCTGTGTTCTCCAGGGGCCTAAGGGGCACCAGCACTTGAGCTCTTGCAGGGGAACCAGTAGAGCCTTTGGAAAGGTGCTCTGATTCTAAAGGTCAGTCATCTCACAGGCATGGTTTTAGAAAGGTGGTCTCCATCAGACCCACCCATTTGCAAGTCACTTCATGGTGAAGGAAAAAGAGATGTTCACAACTTTTTTTTTTTGATCAGCAAAAAGAAATTGCCCTGATCGGTTCAATTCAGTTCAGTCGCTCAGTCATGTCCAGCTCTTTGCGACCCCATGAATTGCAGCATTTTTAAAATGACAGATGCGCATTTAAGTAGTTTCTCATGACAGTGATCACAGAGGCACCTTTTTTATAACACCCTGTAGAGGTGGAGCAAGTCTTGACATCAAGATGACTCAGCTGGTTTTTTTTTCTGTTCATCTGTTTGCTTGTTTAGCAGCAAACACTTTTGTTTTATTGTTGTAAATGTGTTTTTCAGTTTTTCTCTTGATCTAAAAAGCTTCTCCCGTGTGGATTTGACATAGAGAATTCTCTACCCTTCTGTCCCTGCATCTTGTCTGTCCCGGAACCACTACATCAGAAGGCCCACAGTTCCAGAACCAAAAGATCCAAAAGAGATCCAGACTACAAAATTCACGGGGTGTTGCCTATGAAGTTTTAAGTTGTAGTAACTAGGAGAATAAATGCCGCAGGCTTACAAAAATGGTTTAATTATTTAAATAGCCCATTTAATTAAATAATATTTAAAATTAATAATTAAATCATTTCAGGTTTAATTCGATTTTTTACACTTATTTAGTTTTGTGAACTTTGAAAAATAGACATTTTAATGTTAATATTTGTTTACCATCCTCAATCAGAGGAACCAAAAAAATTAACATTGAAAATTATTGTGAAAAATTTACAAAATGAATTAAGTAGAAAGAAACATAAACACTGAATATTTACAGTGATGTTTGTTGTATGTATTTACCATTTATACTTCTGAAATTATTAAGACTTGAAACTGCACTAAGACTTCTGGGATATCCTATCTATGATAGTCTGTTTTTCGTCATTTTTTTCAGTTGGAAAGACAATGTGACATGGTAGAAAAGTCTGAAACTTTGGAGAGACCTCAAACCTGGGTTTGAATCTAGCTTAGCTCCATCCAACTGGTTGATTTTAAGTTTTGATCATTAATTTTTCTGAACATGAATTGTTCATCTGTAAATCAGCAAAATAACACCTTTCCTATACGGTTGTCTCAAAAATAGAAACAACATATATAAGTACCAGTCTCCTCATAGTCCACATCTGTCTACCCACCCAGGCGGTTTTTGCTGAGTTTTACACAGCTGATGTTTTACAGAAAAATTCTCCATCTGCCAGTGAACCTGTGAGCTCTCCTCTTCATCCCCAAAGTTAAAGGCCCAGAGGATGCCCCATGATGTCTGCATCACGTGTCCAAAGTTATACAGCCTGCAAGTGGTGGAGCTCTGGGGTTCTCTGACCCAAAAGCCCAGCCCATTCTCAGATATAACTACCCAGGAATCTTAGAATTTCTGGGTCTCCTTCTTCCCCTACGTCTGATGAGATAGAACTCCTTAGGCAGATGCCTCTAGAAACTGTGGAGGAAGAAAAAGTCAGGATGATAGCTGGACCCAGGTATGGGGCCCACAGTTGGGTGTCAGGGAAGCATCCAGCATGTCCTCTAAGTGTGCTTGGCAAGAAGATTCAGGTTTTCAGCCAGGTGGCCTTGCTGACTTTCCCAAAGGCAGCCCCAGTATGCCAGAATGGGTGAGCCATCTGTCTCTCTGCCTCTAGGGCCAGTGTATACAGAAGTCTTGTCAATACCTCTGTTAGGCCGGCTTGTCCCAGTTGTTAAGAGTCCTGAGTTATATATAGCTTTGATTCTTTCTTTACCTTTTTGAGGCTCAGGGTCACATATCTATAGTTTCTTAAGTTCTCCAAGTACCAAAGGCCTCTTTCTCCAACAACAATTTTTTTTTTTTTTTAAACTTGCCTATGGTGATCTCCTTTTCTTCTCTCAGAGGAAAAACTGCTTCTGAGGCCGCTGATGACATCATCAACAACCACCTCCCAAGGCTGAAGGAACTTGGCAGAAATGGGGAAATACACGTTGACAATATAGATGTGTTCTGTGAAAAGGGTGTCTTTGATCTTGATTCCACCAGAAGAATTCTTCAAAGTGGGAAAGATATAGGGTTACAGATTAACTTCCATGGGGATGAGCTCCACCCCATGAAGGCTGCTGAGGTATGGTTGTTCTCTTGTTCTTTGTCAACACTCGTGCTATGGAAAACTCGATGAGTTTGTTCAAAGGAAGGAATGACCTTCTGAAAAGATAGAGGATGGGGAAATTTGTTAGAAATATGTGCAGGTTGGTCTGGTTGAGCTTTGGAATCCTTTTTTGCTGATCACTTGCTTTTATTATCTCCTCCTGGTGATACTAGTAGGAAAAAAAAAAAAAAACCTTTGTGATCTCATTTACTAAATTCACAACCTATTTTGATTGTCATTCGAAGTCACCCTAGCACTGTCTCTTAATTTCACATGAAGCTTCTAGAGTTTTTCTGTGGCAGCATTCAGACGAATTTTAGTGGAGCATGCCTTAATAGAGACGGGATGATTTTCAGATTGTTAAGTCTTTCCCAGATTCATTTATTCATACTTGGAAGAAATTCAAAATCCCCTCCACGTTTCATCTGAGTGCCTACCTCTCTGGGATCCTTCCCAAACCTCTCTAAGAGTGGGTTATAGCCCCTCCCTGTCCTTGTTCCGCTGTTTAAAATCTCTGTGATTCTTACTGGACATGAACACACTGAGGACCACACCCATGTCTTCTTGTGTGTGTGTGTCTGTGTGTGTGCACACGCTTAGTCACTCAGTCATGTCTGACCTTACCCAGCCTTATTTCCTGGAGGTTAACACAGTGCCTAGAGTGCAAATGGTCTTTAGAAAGTAAATAGTTGTTAAATTAATGAGAACTGGGTGGTCAACAAGATACTTTGGGCTGTAGAGAGTGACTGTGAATTAAATGTGAATTAAATCAATAGAAGTTGATAATTCCCTGGATGAGCAAATCAAGTTTGGAAAAGTTGAGGATGATTCTTAGATCAAAAGGGAACCTGCCTTAGGGAGCATCGTCTGCGCTGTCCCAAGCCCCCAGAGCCCTGATCCCAGTGCCCGTCCACCTGAGCCAGATGCTGATGGGGGCTCTTCTTCCCTGCACTGGGGTGGGCATCGCAGCCTCCCTGGCTCACAGTGGAATCAGCTATCAGTCTTCTTTCCTTGGAATGCACATCATGTCACCTTTCAGCCTGGGGCACTTCGTGCATGTGTGCATGTGCGCGCATGTGTCAAAATTTGTCAAGTTCAGAAATAATCCACTTTAATACATTCTTATCCAAGCATTACCTCTTCTTAGTTGTCTTCTAACAACCTAGCATAAACTTTTCATCTGGAGGAGAGCCAAGTTCAAGAAGATAATCTAGGGACTTCCCTGGTGGTCCAATGTTTAAGACTCTATGTGTCCACTGCCAGGGGCCCACATTAGGCCTAGGAATTAAGACCCCGAAAGCTGTGAGGTGTGGCAGAAAAAAGAAGATATTTTCAAGTTATACAAATGATTCCACACTCCTAAAGTCTGTTTTCTCACCTCATCTGTTTTCTCTGAGGCAATGGCATTCCAGGTACCTTTCTTGTAAATTTATGATGTATAACAATCAGATTTTACTACCAGCTTTACTCAATGTTTTATTCTGACTCATAAGATTCATAAAATTTTCTCTTCTAGCAAATGTTTAAAGATCTTGGTAAGCATTTGTGTGTAGGAATAGTTTTTGAAGTAGCATGCTAGCTAAATTTTCAAATGAATGTCCACCATAAACCCTTTACCCACTTGGAGGCTTGTGCTCACAAGAGGTAGTTGGCAATAATAGAGTATTGTTTGTTTTTGTAGGAAAAACCGTATACTGGCACTTTATTGATTTGTTGTTGCCGTGCGTGAAACCTCTCTTTCTCTGTCCATCCTGCTTAGCTTGGGGCGGAACTGGGAGCGCAGGCCGTCAGTCACCTGGAAGAAGTGAGTGATGAAGGCATCGCTGCCATGGCAACAGCCAGGTGCTCCGCTGTCCTCCTGCCCACCACGGCCTACATGCTGAGGTGAGGCTGTTCTCCACCTCCACGCAGGAGCTGCAAGTATGAGCTGTAAAGGCAGAGACTTCCAAGATGCCCAAATATTACTTCATCACCCTTACTTTTATAATTAGAAAAGAGGCTTTATACTTTATAAAACACACATAAGATGTTAGGAATATTCTGAATCCGAATGAGTTGCTTTCTAAGATGATGCAAGTGGGGACCATTATCCTCATAAATCCTACAAGTAAGAGAAGAGAGGAGATGTCTAAGTGTATTTTGTGGCTTCTCCCCAGGGATCTGGCTGTGTGCCTTCCATGGATTGAGTCTTTGTCTAGTTGTGGTAAGCAGGGACTGCTCTTCGTTGCAGTGAGAGGCCTCTTGTTGCATACCGCAGGCTCTAGGTGTCCGGGCTTCAGTGTTTGGAGCGCATGGGCTCAGTAGTTGTGGCTTGAGAGCTCTAGAGCATGGCCCGGAAGTCGTGACGCACAGGCTTGGCTGCCCCGCAGCATGTGAAGTCTTGCCAGACCAGGGCTGCATTGGCAGGCAGGCTCCCGTCCACTGAGCCACCTGAGAAGTCCTCCGTTCATCCTTTTAAAACATCCAGTTACCCCGCACAAAACAAAGTTCAGTTCACACTGGACTCTTTTGCAATAGTTGTCACCGAATTAAATCTGTCTTCACCATGTTAACTAGTGGCCAGCTTTGTTCATCTTTGATTCAACTTTTGAGCCATGTCCTAAAGACTAAATTGTATTTGGTCAAGGAGATCAGGGAAATACCCAGTCCAAGAATAAGCACAAACATTGTCCATCTTAGATTCTTGGACCTTCAGATGAATTTTAAAGAACCTACAAAAATGTTTGAGACCCCCATCTTCCAAAAAGGAGAGGGAGAGATATGAATTTTAAAATTGCAAAATGAACGTTAATTTTAAAAGCATTATTTAAACCTTGTTGTTTATATTTTGGAGTTCTAAAAAATGTATTATGTTTGAAAACAATTTTCAGTTATACTTTTCTTTCTTCACAAGAATGTCTCAATGTAGTGATTGTCACGATAATCCCCAATTAAAGAAGTTGTCATACCCAAGTGATTTCAAAAGCAGGATGGTAAAAATCAGGAGTCCTGGGGTTATGCTAGATCCCACCACTAATCACTTAATCTTGAGTTTCTGTTTCTTCTTCCAGAACGTGGAGGATCTGGATATCTTGTTGTTATTGTTGTTGAGTTGCTAAGTGGTGTCCGACTCTGAGACCCTGTGAACCGTGGCCTACCAGGATATCTTAAATCTGCTTCAATTCTGAACATCTTTAGATGTTCTTCAAAATTTCCACTTCTTGAGACTGATATCTTTCTTCCCCCTTCTCCTTAGACTGAAGCAACCTCGAGCCAGGAAAATGTTAGATGAAGGAGTCATAGTGGCCCTGGGCAGCGATTTTAACCCTAATGCGTATTGTTTTTCAATGGTAATTATTCTTAACATGCCTTTCTGAACAGACTGAAACTTCTACCAAGCATATAAATAATTTAAAAATATTTCACTAACTGGTAAAATGTATCAAAGATCTAAAAATATCTTCTGGTGAAACAAGAAAAAGAATGTGTAGACAGCAGTATAACTGCGTATTTCTGTGCCTCTTGATTGCCTCCAGGCTTAGGGAGAGGAGAAAAAGGGTCTGTTATGCTTTGATGCAGCCTTGGGCATTGTGGTTTTACAATAACCTATTCTCCCCCTCAGAACTGAATAATCTCAAAGAAGTTTTAGTAAGCAAATATGGAGGTGAGCTTCCTATGACAGTAAGTGACCTTGAAAAGGAGTGTTCGTGCTCACATTCAACTCTTTCTGCAACCCCATGGACTGCAGCCCACCAGGCTCCTCTGTCCATGGAATTCCAGACAAGAATACTGGAGTGCATTGCCGTTTCCTCCTCTGGGGGTCTTCCTGACCCAGGGATCAAACCCGCATCTCCTGCATTGGCAGGCGGATTCTGTACCACTGAGCCCGTAGGGGAGACCCTTGAAAAGTAATAAGTAAATATTAAATACATATGGGGTGGGTGGGTGAGCAATCCCTGTAATAAAGAAATCTTTCCCAAAGCATAAGAATCTTTACATTTAAATTTAAAATTTTTCTCATATTAATTCACTCTGCTTTACTTAGGCATTTATCTATCATTATTTGTTGTGCTTTGTTGAGAAATGTTCTAGGTGGCAGTTGTCTAGTTGCTTTTCTTCAATGCTTTTCTCTTCCCGTCTTAGCCAGTGGTCATGCATCTGGCGTGTGTGAACATGAGAATGTCCATGCCCGAGGCCTTGGCCGCTGCCACCATCAATGCCGCTTATGCCCTGGGAAAATCACATACACAGGGATCTTTGGAAGTTGGCAAGCAGGGAGATCTCATTATCATCAATTCACCCAGGTGAGTGTTCTCCCAAGTAAGCCATTTTATTGTATGAAAATATAAGTGTTAGTAGCTTAGTCATGTCCAACTCTCTGCGACCCCATGGACTGTAGCCCACCAGACTCCTCTGTCCATGGGATTCTCCAGGCAAGAACACTGGCGTGGGTCACCATTCCCTTCTCCAGGGGATCTTCCTGATCAGGGATTAAACCCAGGTCTCCTGCACTGCAGGCAGATTCTTTCCTATCTGAGCCACTGGGGAAGCCCCATTTAATTGTATGTCCACTGTCACATGGAGACTTGGTTAAAACCCTCTTCCACTGATGATTCGTGTCAGGCTCTGTGTAAGCTCGGAGAAGCTACCCAGTCTTCTCACTGTCCCCCTTTTCTAAGCAAAAAGTCTCCCTCCAGGTCCTAACTGCAGGTAGACCAACCTTTCTGGTCTCTGACCTGTCTTCCATCTTTCGTAGATCTCTGGGTTTCTTCTCTGTTTACCTGGACCTTGGACCTGTGCTGCTCTTTGACGCGGGTTTTGTTTTTCTTCTTATGTGCTGACCTTTGCTGCTTGCAGGTCACAGCTCGAGCTTGTCGCCCTGGTTCTAATTCATTACCTCTCTGACTTCTCCTTCCTACTGCATCCCAAAAGCTTTGCTGAAGTTATTCCGCCTCTGGTTTTGTACTGTTCACCCATAGTCTGCTGCCTTGTGGACCTCCAGTGTAACAATTTGAGTCTTATTGTTCTAAATCTTAAAGTTGTGGATTCTATGGTGTCTGGACCCTAGCAAGTCTCTCCCAGCTCTTGGACCTCATGCTCAACAGAAGAGGGTGGCTCCATAATTCTACTCTTGAGGATCATAAGCTATTGTCTCATAGAAAGTAATGCTAATGTTACAATTTATGCATCATTTAACTGAATCAAATAGTTTAAGGTCAGATATTTAATATCATTAAACACTGCTTGATTTATCATAGACTGATTATCATGGTACTCTGTCATTTTTTTTAAAGCCCAAATATTAACTACTAAGTATAAATAAATTTTTAGAGAATGTATTTTAAAATTAGCATTTATTGACAAAGTAATCATTTTGACTTGTATGCATTAATGTTTGATTTCTTTCTAGATGGGAGCATTTGATTTACCAGTTTGGAGGTCATCATGAATTAATTGATTATGTTATCGCTAAAGGAAAAGTCATCTATAAAAAATGATAGATCTATAAGGAAAGAGGAGACTCTTCAACTGTATAAGTCAATACAGTTATATTAAGAGTTAAAATACCTTAGTAGTTTAGCAGAATGATGTCATTTAAATATATTTCAATATTTTGTTAATCCACTTGAAAAACCCAAGGGATTCAATTACTTTAACATGTGCACATTGACATATAATCAGGTAAACAACTTGTGATGATAGTCTCAAACATTAACTTCACAAAGTTTTGTTATAAATATTCTGCAGATTAATTCATTAGTGTCCTCTGAGGGGAGGGTGTTCTTCTATTTCTAATTACTTCTCAACCCTTACAATAGAGCTTCATGACAGAGTTCAAGACTTGTCATTTTGTACACAGGTACAGGGACCTTCTTGTAATGGATGCATTTTGATCAAATCCAATAATACACTTTTTAAAAATTGTTTTTAATTTTTTGATTCTTCACATTAATTACAAATGTCTGAAAAATTTTATAGCTCTCAATAAATACTTTCTATCACTATTATTGTTGTTGTTTACAGCAACATGAGAAATCAGTCAGTGGTGTTGTCTATTAGAGCTTTTAAGGAAATGAACAAATTACAGAAGAAAGTGGATTACATACAGGAAAAGTGGATGATTATATAAATGGGTGTCTCTAAAGCCTTATGAGTTTTCTTGAAATCTTTTAAAATGCTTTTATCATCTTAATAATCATGATCAAACTATGTTCTGTTTAGGAAGAGATGACTAGACAAGTAAACAGTACCCAAATTATCACCCATTTCAAGTGGATAGAACCTGAATCAATGAGTCTTTACTGTGTTCAGTAGAGATCAAATCAAGCGATCCCTTGTCAGGAGGTTAAAGGTAATGGTGCACGTCGCAATCACTGGCTAGTAGCGCAGTCTCTGGAGTTCGGCTCCTCACATGCTTGGTGAAGAAGCTGAAAGGGGGTGCGGGAAGCCTGGTTGCTGTGGGTGATAGCTCCCCTGTGACTGGTCTCCTAGTTAATGGTAGGAGTCTGGGGTGCAGGAGATAGCTTGAAAGGCCAAAACTAAAGATTAGGTCTGTCCTAGAGTCCAAGCCATGCAGAAGTATATCCTTACACTTACGGAATAAGCAGGTGAAGCACTTATTTTCCCTCTGTGTGTGCGCAGTTGCTCAGTCGTGTCCAACTCTTTGCGATCCATGGACTGTAGCCCGCCAGACTCCTCTGTCCACGGGGATGCTCCAGGCAGGAATACTGGAGTGGGTTGCCATGCCCTTCTCCAGGGGATCTTCCCAACCGAGGGATCGATCCCAGGTCTCCCATTCTGCAGGCGATTCTTTACCATCTGAGCCACTAGGGAAGCCCTTTTCCTTCTTGGAAACATTAACTCTAAATAAGTAGCGTTCTTGCCTTTTTTGAAAGAAACCAGAAGAGGATGCCCACCTGAAACTGCCTTATTCCTCCCAGACCAGTGTCCTACAAGCCCCTTGCAACTCGCGGAAACTGGCTAGAAACGCAGAACCTCAGCCCCACTCCACATCTACTGAATCAGAATCTGGTCTTAACAAACCCACAGATGATTTGTCTGCCCCCTTGAGTCTGAGAAGGGCTGCGGTCTAAACCCTAGCCACACACGGTGCCTCAAAACCTCCATTTGCTTTTGCTGCCCCGGACCTTGCAGCACCCTTTCCTGCCCTAGAGTGCTTTCCCTCTCTTAATGTGGGAAATTGGAGCTAGTCCCTCCCCATCCCCACCATGCACCCATTCCTCTGTGAGCGCCTCTAGAGCATTGCGCCCAACTGTCATTCTCTTTAGACTGTGTGTTAGGAGAGGGAAGGGCCTGGTCGTGTCCCCAGGATCTAGTATAGTGATTGGTTCATAGGAGGTGATCAATGAATGAAGTAATGAATGGCTGCACAAGCATACAGATGGTCATAGTGAAAAGTGCTTATTAAAATACACTCAGCAGGCCAACCCAGGAATGAAGTGTTAAAGAAAGTACTTGTTCCACATATTGGAAAGAGCATATGAATTCCTTAATGTAATGTCATTTCTGTAATGTAATGTACATTACAGAATGTAATGTTAGGTAAAACCCAACAAGAAACAATGTCATGATTAGGTGGAAAGGGGCGTTGCCATCCTCAACTTGGGAGCTTGGAAGGATTTTGATGTGAAGGAAAGGCTCCAAGATGGGGGATTATGGGGGTGTTCAGGAGAGGGGGAGGGTCTGAGCCCTCCTAGAATGAAGGGCCGGAGGGGGCAAATGGCACCCCACTCCAGTGCTCTTGCCTGGAAAATCCCATGGATGGAGGAGCCTGGTGGGCTGCAGTCCGTGGGGTTGCTAAGAGTCGGACATGACTGAGCAACTTCACTTTCACTTTTCACTTTCATACATTGGAGAAGGAAATGGCAACCCTCTCCAGTGTTCTTGCCTGGAGAGTCCCAGGGACGCGGGAGCCTGGTGGGCTGCCGTCTATGGGGTCGCACAGAGTCAGACACGACTGAAGCGACTCAGCAGCAGCAGAGTGGAGGGCTTGGGGTAGGGGTACTGGGACTGTACGGTTGACTCAGGTTTCACGAGACTTGGAATGTCAGGCTCACTAGTTGGAACTTCATTCTTAAAGTCGTGGGAGGCCACTGCAAGTTTTTGAACAGGTTAGGACAAGGACACGTGTTTGCTGTAGAAAGAAGAATCCAGTTTTAGTCAACACAGTGGGCACTCAGATATGTGCTGTGTGAGTGGACTCTGGAAAGACACCTTAACCAAGTCCTTTGGTGGAGAGAGCAGGAGGTATCAGGTGCTAGAAGTCTGGATGGAAAGCTCTCGAAATGGCAGTGAGATATGCACACCCCTACCTGACCATGGCTTGAAAAACAAGGAAGCCTATTAGTTCCGCCTGGAAGCTCACAGGAAGGACAGGCTTCAGGACCCTGAAGACCCAGAGTCCTCCCCCCACTCCTGCTCCGTCCTACAATGTGGGGGCACCCCAGGCTGGGTCCCCCCCCGGTGCGGCAGGCTGGCAGCTGTCAGAGGGGCTGTGCCTCCTCATTCAGGTCAAGCAGGACGGGGAGAAAGCCTGCTTTCAGGACAGAAAGAGTTTTCTAGAAGCCTCTGTTACTGACCAGGGTTCTTGGCCTCCTTAGCCAATGGAAATTGACTAGAGACCAGACAAGAAATGCAGGCAAGGCTTTACTGGGGCTCCTGTTGCAGCAGGGTTTGGGGGTAGGGTGAGAAGAATCTGCAGGTCCCCTTGTTCGCTGGCTCCCCGAGGCCTGGGGGGAACTCGTTCCTTATATGGAGTGAGGGTAGGGGCATGTCCAGAGGTTGGCCAGAAGGGTGGCTTAGGTGGTGGTGTGTGCAGGGGGCACCCCAGTACCTGCTTTTGCTCACGACCCCCTTCTTTTGCTCCAGGCTCTTTAAAAGTTGCAGTTGGGGTTTTTTTTTAATCTTTTTGCAGCTTTTGTCCAGAATTTGTCCCAGCTGACTGTGCACATGGTTCATTTTAGTCCCATAGTTTAGTTTCTTTGTATTTTGTTTCTCAAGAAAAGGTGTGTCCAGGTATAAGCATTGCAGCACCGCAACAAAGGGTCCCAGGACCCAGGCCTGCCTCACCTCCAGTAACATTCTTCTCTCGTCCACCCAAGCTGTGTAGCCCCTACCGTCTCTTGAACTAATCACCCCGTAAAGGGAACGGGACCCCCTTGAGACGAACCAGGCCTGTGCCCTGAGCTGAAATGAATTTCCTCCAACTTTTTTTTTTTGGTATAATGTTAATGTTAACATTAAAAGTTTACACTTAATAAATGAATACCTTCAACCAAAGTAAACTCCCCAGTGTAAAATGATCGTGCTATTCATGAGACAATTAGAAGCTTTAATAAAAAGACCAGGTGACCAGTGACCAGGTCAGTGACCAGGTTCAGAAATGAGACACAGCTTTAAACAGTAATGAGAAGAAGCTTCTTTGGAATTTTTCAGGTTATGTGTGGAGTTTCATGTATGTGGTAGGTTGTTATAGTAACAGCCCCCAAATCACATGCCCTTATGTGTTACCCTTCCAAACTGATGTGGGCTTGACATGTGACTCGCTTTGGTCAGTTGGACATTAGCAAATGTGGCACAAAAGGAGCTAGAAACACCCTTGCGCTTTCAGTTTTTCTCTCTCCTGCCCTAAGAAAGCAGGTAAAGAAGCCGAGGTGAGCTCACCTGGATGAAAATCATGATGCCTCTAGCTCTTCTGGGCTCCTCAGCGGGGAAGAGAGAGAAAGAATGTCTACCAAATCAATCACGTTGTCTAAAGACACTTTGTACCGTGTGAACATTCAATGACAAAAGTCGTACACAAATGTAATTAACTGCAATTAGAATAACCTTTTCCTGATGAGGTGATATACTTTGTTATAAAAATCTAAGAATACAGCAGTGACATAAGACAGTAAAGACTTAGTTTATTCCACATTTACCTTGAAATTCCCTTGAGGGCACAGTGACAGAGCTGTATAGAAAACTCAATAACAAAGGGCCCAGAGGACAAGCCCTGGCCACCAGAAAACCCCACAGCAAAGTGACAAACAGCCTCAAACCACTGGGCTGACTTGCTCCACTGCAGCTCGTGGATGAGAATGAATAAACGTCACTCCTGTGTCCACGTTTCCAGCAAAGAACAGCATCAAGAACCACCTTTTGGTCAACAGGTTCCTCAGCACATTTTCATTTGTACCTCTGTCTCCACCTTTCCTGTGGACAGGCTGCAATTAGGAAAAACTCTGCTGTGAAATGCATGTTGGACCATTTAAGGCTGTCATCAGGCGGGAAAGCGGGCAAGCATGCTGCCCTTTCCTTGACCAAACGCAGTCGTTAGAGCCACGGTTTCACTGCACTTGGAGCGAGCTTTGCTCTTGTTTGCACAGAATGGTGCAGAGTCATAGCCTCAGGGAGTCAAGAAGTCACTAGATCCAGCCTTCTTCTGGACAATTACACTTAAGCCTTCCCAAGGGGTCCTTTATCTTCCTCACTGGGTAACATCCTGAGGCCCATCTGATCTCTGCCAACAGGGCCTTGTTTTAATGATTACCGTTACAAAGAAGGGCTGGTTAACTTCTAAACATCAGATTCCTTACCTGTGAAATGAGGAGGCTTCTTAAGCTAGGTTATTACAAGAACATGAACAAAGTACTCACACGTAATAAGGCAGCAATAACACTAACCTCCTACTACAGTTTAAGCATCTGAATCCTTTCTTTGATATGTATAGTGGCATTTGATATATATGAAACAGTTCATTGAGAACCACTCTAATAGCAATCTTTCTATTCATTCCTTAACTCCTTGACGCAGAATGTCTTGTTGACCAATTGACTATTCTTTACTACAATTCAACTAATAAGAAGTAGCTTGAGAACAAATTATGACTTAAAAAGTATTGTTTACAAAGACATATTAAGGGACATTCATCATATCATGGCTTAGTATAATCCACCAAAGTTAACTAGAACTTGTCAAAGCAAAAACAAAGAGAAAAAACCAAAAAACCAAAACAAAAGAAAGATTCACAGAAGTCTAATGTTTTTGGAAAAGAATGCCATCAATCTTTTTCAAGATTTGAGTTCATCTAATGTCAAGAGTCAAACATCCACACAATTGTGGTTACTCTTCTCATCCTAAGGAATGAGTGACCTGTAGATATCATTAAGAAATAATTAAAGTCCTATAACCCGGAAACACCGTTTACATCCCTAACCAGGTCAACAAGAACACAGTACTAGGTTTAGTAAATGTAATATTATCACCAGCCTAACCACAGCAGGTATTATAAGACCCAAACCATATAATAGATTGATCTACCTGAGAAAGTTCTCAGGTCTCTCCCTCAGCATAGTACTGTTTTCTGTAAAATTAAGTGCTATCTAATCTGCTAATTCATGACAAAAAGCATTAAAGATCCTCAGACTCTGGGATCTTGGTAGATTTCTTGTGCAGAAATTCCAGTGAAAATGCTGTTGGAGAAACAGGTCTTGATTCCGGAATATGCTCCATCCTGTATTTTTCAATGTATGGTGCAGCTACTTCCCAAACCTGAGACACAAGGACAGAGCAGTCAAAGTACTGACAACATTGTTTTCACATGAGTTAGACAACTTCATCTGAAGTCAAAGCCATTATCTCTACCTGACTGGATACATAGCTGCTGTTGGCTTGCTTTTATCATAAGCCGTTTAACACATGACCTGTCAAGTAACAGCTTTTAAAATACAAAGTTCAAAATGTTTCTAAAGTGACCATTAAGGTTTTCAGCTGTTTGCTCTTCTAAAGCAAAACAAGCCAGTGAACAAACAAAACCTAGAGGATTCAGTGTGGATGGAATTAAGGATAGTTACTCAAGGGCAGAACTGTGTGTTTTCTGAGGCAAGCCTTTAATGATCAGAGGCAGTGGATCTCCTCTGCCCTAGTTCCACGCCCCATGCACTCTGTTCTTTGGATCCTAGTTGCTCAGAGCATGGCCCCTGGACTGGCGCATCAGCGTCACCTGGGACGAGTCAGAATGTCAGCCCTGCTGCAGACCTGCTGAATCTGAATCTGCATCTTAACCAGATCCCTGGGAAATCCACATGCTCTTTACAGTCTGAGAAGCACAGCTTCGTAGCCTTGTTCAGGGCTACCCATCAACCTGTTCCCTTTCAAGCATAACACCTTCTCAAATGAAGATCTAGTTTTTAGTTTATATTATATTATGGCTGCTTTTTATTCAGTTGCCCCTGATAGGAAAGGAGCATTTCCTATTCGTTTGTATTACCTTAGAAAATGTATTCTTTCAAAAGTGACCCCATGGACTGTACCCCTCCAGGCTCCTCTGCCCATGGAATTTTCCAGGCAAGAATATTGGAGTGGGATGCCTTCTCCGGTTTCAAAAGCTAACCTCCTTGAAAAGATACCTGCACTGCCATGCTCACTCCAGTATTATTTACAATAGCCAAGGCAAGGAAGCAACCTAAGTGTTCACCATCAAATGAATGGATGAAGAAATTGTGATACACACACACACAGTGGAATATTATTCAGCCGTAAGAAAGAAGGAGCTGTTGCCATTTGCAACAACACAGATGGACCTTGAGGTCATCATAAGTGAAATGTCAGACAAATATCATATGATCTCACTTGTATGTGGAATCTAAAAAAAATACATAAAATAGCTCATAGATACAGAGAAGAGGTTGGTGGTTGCCAGAAGCAGGGAGTGGGGGAGTGGGTAAGGAAATGATTTGACAGTAGTCAGAAGGTACAAAATTCTGCTTGTAAATAAATCCTAGAGATGCAATGTACAGCTTGGTGACTATAGTTAATAATACTGTATTGTATATTTGAAATTTGCTGAAAGAATAGATCTTAAGACGTTCCTATCACAAGAAAAAAATAACTGTGTGGTAATGGAGGTTAACTAACTGTAGTAAACATTTTGCAATATATATATAGAGATCAAGTCATGTTGTACACTAAGATAATGATGTATGTCAGGCATATTTCAGTTGAAAAAAGGCTGAGTTCTTGCCTACCTCTCTTCTAGCACCAAAGCTGGCAGCAAGCAAGGGAATTCCCCCTCAAAGGGCATGGGGAACACTTAGAAATGACAGGGGTGAAGGTCAAAGGAAAAAACTGTTCTCAAGAGCAGAGCAATAGTTCCAAAGGAAATCAAGCAACTCTAAGGGACATGATAGCTACAAATTACTGCAGAAGGTTTAAAGGAATTTTAAAAATATATTTTAAACATGAGTCCGCATTCTAGGCATCTGTCCCAATTAGACAAGTCTGTAGTCAATGGAACCAGAGGAAAGAAGTGGTAAAGAGAACCCGTATCTCACCCAGCATGATGGGGAGGACACAGCAGTGCACAAGGTGGACACAGAGCCCTTTGAATAAATACTCGGGAAGTTTGTCTTCCCTTCTTAAATCCTAGAGATGCAATGTACAGCTTGGTGACTATAGTTAATAATACTGTATTGTATATTTGAAATTTGCTAAAAGAATAGATCTTAAGAAGTTCCTATCACAAGAAAAAAATAACTGTGTGGTAATGGAGGTTAACCTACTGTAGTAAACATTTTGCAATGTATATAGAGATCAAGTCATGTTGTACACTAAGATAATGATGTATGTCAGGCATATGTCAGTTGAAAAAAGGCTGAGTTCTTGCCTACCTCTCTTCTAGCACCAAAGCTGGCAGCAAGCAAGGGAATTCCCCCTCAAAAGGTATGGGGAACACTTAGAAATGACAGGGGTGAAGGTCAAAGGAAAAAACTGTTCTCAAGAGCAGAGCAATAGTTGCAAAGGAAATCAAGCAACTCTAAGGGACATGATAGCTACAAATTACTGCAGAAGGTTTAAAGAAATTTTAAAAATATATTTTAAACATGAGTCCGCATTCTAGCCATCTGTCCCAATTAGACAAGTCTGTAGTCAATGGAACCAGAGGAAAGAAGTGGTAAAGAGAACCCGTATCTCACCCAGCATGATGGGGAGGACACAGCAGTGCACAAGGTGGACACAGAGCCCTTTGAATAAAAACTCGGGAAGTTTGTCTTCCCTTCAAGTCTATGCAGTTGCTGGAGCAGGTAGAGGCAGCATTACAGAAAAAGAGTGTACTTCTGAATAAAAGAGAACCTTCTTGGTGAGGAGGAATCTATGAACTTTCAACTTATTTTCTCCCCATGAATACTTGTCCCGAAATTCTATTTAAAATTCATTTAAAAAAATTCATTTCAGCTCCTAATCCTTAGACAGTCAATGTTTGGATGCAACATGGGGCACTTGCGAGTTTGTCAAATAGCTTCTTAGTGACCTTAAAAGTTGCATGAGTACCTTTTGGTTCACTTCCAAAAAATAACCATGAAACAGAAGAACAGGAGAATGTTTCTCTACTCCCCACCCCCACTCCGCTTCCCCTTGTGGTAGGGTGATTTAGTCATGAAGTCATCTCTTGTAACCCCATGGACTGTAGCCCATGAGGCTCCTCTGTCCACAGGATTTCCAGGCAAGAATACTGGAGTGGGTTGCCACTTCCATCTCCAGGAGAATCTTCCCAACCCAGGGATCGAACATGGGTCTCCTGTATTGCAGGTGGATTCTTTACCAACTGAACCACCGGGGAACCCTTGCTCCCTCTTAAAGACCCCAAACTAAAAAACAAGTCAGAAAACCAGCTTACCTTCTGCTCTACGAGCAGCCTGTGCGCTGCCTCAATGTCTGGGGCCATGAAGCGATCTTTTATCCAGGGCCTGCAGAGAAAGCACGTCACACCATCAGCCAACGTTAACCGCTGCCAGGGTCCACGGTTCTGAAACGGTGTCACTTTCCAGGGATCTGTTTGATTTTACCTCACGACAGAGCGCACCAGGTCATAGACCTTCTCCAGTGGAGTGGTGGTTTTCAAGGGGCGGAGGAACTCTATGCCCTGGCAGGCTGCAAGAAGCTCGATGGCCAACACTGAAACAAGGAGGGACGAGGGGATGGCTGGTTAGAGTGTGACTTCATGCTTGAGGGGTATAAGCCCCACGTGAGCTGCCAGCCGACTAACGGATAGTTGGTTCTCAGTCTACCGGTAGAATGAAGCTGCCTTGGTATTTGTACACATTTAAAATCTACTTTTCTAACCCCTCGGCTGCATCTTTAATGCTGAGAAGGGCAGGACTACCCAGGTAAATCAGCTTTCTCCTTCTCCCTTCAGCTGATCAAGATGGATAACCTCTGTTTCCTACTTCCACACTTGTGTAAATTTCCATTTGTCTTCAGTCTTGCTGTTCTCTATGGCCTGAAATACCTGGCACATACACTTTCATCAAAAGACTGAAGGAGTCCATGAATGAGCAGATAACTCTTTGGTTGCCATGGAACTGTTTCTCTAATGTCTATTTTAAACCTTCAATTTCAAAGGCTCCCAACAAGACCACATAGGGAGGATAAGAGAGTGATGAGTAAAGGGTGCAAGGTTTCTTTCTGGAAAGATGAAAATGTTATAACGTTGACTATGGTGTCGACTCACAACTCTGAGTATATTCACAACTCTACTAAAACCCACTGAATTGTACAATTTAGATGGGTGAATTGTATAGTATATGAATTATACCTCAATAGAGCTATTGCCCCCCCCTCAAAATGGATACTCAACTCTCTTACATTTATCTTAAAATAATGCTATTTTGTCAGCCAATTGATTCCAATACAGTTGCAAAGATTGAGGAATTTAGAACAATGCCTAAAGGAAGGCAGTTTCTCTTTAAGAAACAAACAAGCAGTGATTAAGAAGGCTGGAAGACTTTGACCTAACATTGCCCCACCTATGAACTATCTTGGCCAAAAAATGCTGGATCTAAACCTTGTCAAATCTTTAGGACCAACTGCAATCCACAAAAAAACAGGACAGAACAAACGTACCACCATAAGCACAGTTCAGTTCAGTTCAGTTCAGTTGCTCAGTCGTGTCTGACTCTTTGTGACCCCATGATTCGCAGCACGCCAGGCCTCCCTGTCCATCACCAACTCCTGGAGTTTACTCAAACTCATGCCCATCGAGTCGGTGATGCCATCCAGCCATCTCATCCTCTGTCGTCCCCTTCTCCTCCTGCCCCCAATCCCTCCCAG